CCATTCATACCAAGTTTACATTCGTTTTTTTAAATTTGTGGTTTGTAAAAATAGAATAAAATTTTTTATAAAATACTATAGAAGTTCTATGCTCTGTAAAGTTTTAGATTTATGCTTCATTCCTGTATTATATACTATAATACGTATCTAAGAAGAAAAATTATAAAATCTTATTGTTGTTTTGTGAATAAATACATTTATTTATTGTTATATCAAGGTCTAAGATTACTCCACCTACGACGTACTTAAAGAATTACATTTTATGATTTCATATAAATACATAGTTGAAAATACAATTATTTTACTGTAGAATTCAAATTGTTAATTTTTTTTCATTTTTATTTGACTCTCTGTTTACGAATTTTTTTATATACAGTATGTTTTAGAATGTAATGTAGGTGTGACTCCATCCATTATTAATGAGCCTGTCACATCTCATTGCCTAGATACAGGGTGTTTTATGAATTTCGCCTGAATTTATTTTGGACCAAAACTCCAGAACCATTCGGTAGACTCGTCTCAATACAACAAAAATATTATTATAAAAATAATAATTAGAATCCAGGTCCCGCTTAACAAAATGTGACCACAACACCCTGTATGACTAAACTTTGCATATCTGATTAAATATCTCAAAAGAATTATAGGTGTCTTTTAAAATATGCGCATGACGTTTTAGACGTTAAAAAATATATTTTTAAAAATTTGTTACCTTTATGTTTTAAAAACTATTTCTTCATGATGAAATGGGTAAATATTACTTTTTTAAATAAATACTTTTCAAATATCCCAATTTTACACTATTTCAGTTTCATCTCCCATCTCCAATCTCTGTACATATTAAATATGAAATGGATATAACCTATTCCTTTTTAATATTATCAAATCCATTGCTTATTCTGCGAGTACTAATTTTTAGATCATTTTCAACTATCTTCTACTTCAATGTTTGCCATTCTACTATGTTCTTTGAATTTGGCTGTAGAAAAACGACCGTGCTGTCTAAGAAAATTAAAAACGTTCAAAAAAGTTTGTTGGTTAAGGAATCGGCATCCTGGAAACCTTCCCAGCTATAGTCTATTTTTATGTATGAGAGAGTATTAAAATAATAAGGCGTTCGTAATCCATAGGCGTACCACTTCTTTTAGTAGACAGTTAAAATATTTTTTGAAGTTATTCCTTGAGTATACACTTATATTTTCACCTAATTAACCTGCTTATAACTTCTAAACAGCTGAAGGTAAAAAAGTGCAATTTTTTCTAAAATGTTTTATTTGTCCACAAGGTATGTTAAGAACATTGTGTCAAACGGGTTATGTAGGTATAAGGGTTTAAACTTTGACTTTTAAACAACGTTACGTTCATAAATAATAATTTTAATAAAAAAACTACTTCTTACCTACGAATCCAAATCAGAATCGAAATCAGAAGATGAACTGTCGTAACCAATATTTACAATGAGTGGCTCGATCATTTCATCAGTAATATTGTCCAACTTCCACATTTTCTCTTCTTCTTTAATCGTATGATTTACTGCCTTTTCCCAGTTTTCAGGCTTCGCATTATTTACAGCCTCCAAAAACAACTGTTTAACATCACTCATTTTAAAAGAATTATTTTTTCTTGAAACTTCTCCCTTTATCTGTGCCCATATCAGTTCAATCGGGTTTACTTCGCAATGATATGGTGGTGATCTAACCACCGTCATCCCACGATTTTTTGCAATTTCATCAATTTCATATTTTTTTAATTTCTCTTTATGAAGGGAACACAAATGATACAGTTCTTTTCTCACATAGAACCGGGATGGAACTTAATATTCTTTGAATTTAGCCAATTCTGTAAATATTTTTTTAACCACTTGGTTGTGGGCATTTTTTTTATAAGTCTCGAGTGATAACTTGCATTATCCATTACTATTATACAGTTCTGAGGAAGAAGATCTATAATTTGTTCGAACCACTCTTTAAAGACATCAGCATTCATGTCCTCATGGTAGTCACCGGTACGAGTAGATTCAAAAGTCAATAAACCACCTTTAACAAAACCGTTTGAACTACCGATGTGTACTATTATTAGTCTGCGCCCCTTTCCTGATGATGGATTTAAACCAGTAGATAAATTATTTAAAAAAGCCTGTCTTCGACTTGTAACAGTTTCATCTTGCCAAAATTTATTTGGTTTATGTCGCTCGTTGATCCATGTTTCATCTAAATAAAATATATTTCTTCTTTGGTTTCTCATTTCTTTTATAGTCCTTAGGTAATTTCTTCTCCATACTACAATATCGCTTCTTTCTATTAAAATAGACTTTCTGGAATGCTTTTTCCATAGAAAACCTATTTCTTTTAAAAGTTTCCATAGTGTGCTTCGACTCATTTCAGGGTAATCCTTATCATTTCGAACCGTGGCAAGAACTTTGTCTACTGTCGGAAATTCTTTTCTAAAGAAGAACGCATACACTTTCCTTTGAAGTCTTTCTTTCAAAAGATTTTCTAATTGAAATTTTGGTTTTCCTGGAGCTTTACGTGCTGTTTGAAACTCGCCACATTTCTCTTCTTTAACAACTCTGTAAATCGTAGATTTCCCAACACCAAGCATACTACTAACTAATTCCACTGTGTCATCAACACTTTTACATAAATGTTTGTCTATAAATGATTTAAAACAATTAAATATTAATGTTTTTTTCATTAACTGTTAAAGGACCGATTTTTTGTCGTTTACGCGGCCCTTCCAAATTTTCCATGATCACACTAGAATTCACACTGCACCTTGCAAGTTGCAACTAAACGACATTTAGTAAACTGTCAAGAATACAAAACTTGGACCTCCTTACTAAATGGAAAACCTATAATCGCATTTTCGGTGAAATTTGTTGGGAAGGTATTTATCTACTTATAATTCGATTACTGTAATAAATTCTTGGAATTAAAATAAAACAAAATTGACAAATAAGTACTTATTGAAAATAATCTTAAGATACGGCTATGTAATCTTTAATACACAGGGCTTTTGGCCTGTCCAAACCTTTTTCAATTGTTCTGTGCAGCTTATGTTAATAAAGGACCAATAAAAGAAGCAAAACTTGTAATAGCTCAGGTACATTTATTACAATTTTAGGAAATATTTAGATTATTCTGTAAAAATATTTAAAATGACCGTACTAAGTTTTGCATTAGAAATGCTGTTTTATTACTCTCTCATACATAAAAATAGACTATAGTACATAACGTTGCCAAGCCTTTCGGCGATGTCGCTTTAGGGGAACGTAATAACATTACTATACAACGTTCATGAGAAGTTGTTGAGGGAAATCAAAACGTCGCAAAACTTCTATTTGTTACTTATCTATTTGTTAAAAAATGTAAAAAAGTGATTTTCTTAAAAAACTATCCAGGAGAAGTACTGTGAACATCACAATCTGAAGTCGGATCATTTATATTTATGTCAATTGTCACTTGTCACTTTTTCTTGACATTTGTCATGTTTTTGGTGGTTGTTTTTTAACTTTGAGACTTTATTTTATGAATAATAATTATTATTTATACATTTGAATAGATTTGGTAAGGGTCCTTTATTAAATAGAAAACTATTTTCTAAACCATTGTCTTTGTTTCAGATTACAATCAAAGACTGAAATAGTGTAAAATTGAGATATTTGAATAAGTATTATTTTTCGAGTTTCATCATCAAATTCGTAGTTTTTTTCGGGCGACTACGAAGACTACATTGAAAAATAAAAGTGAATATTTGCAAATTTTTATTGTCTGTGAATGGAACAAAAGATTCTACCTTATGAAACCTGCCGTATATTTTTTTTTGTAAAATGGGCTTCAGTCTATTCATACAATATGCATTTAACCGACAGAGTAACATAACATAACAATACACCAACCAGCACAGAATCCCTCCCACAAAATACCTTTTGGAAATTTGATGCATTAGGTAAACAAGTCGGTACTTCAAACGCTAAATCTGGGACTTTCAGTGTGGTTGTTACGGCAACGCTGCAATAAATGCCGTTCCTTCGTTGTTCACTTCAGTTGCCTTTTGTGCTTCGCTTTGCTGTTTTCTGTTTGATATTGTTTTTGCAATCTTTTCAGTCTTTTCAGTCACATGTGGCACATGCGATAATTCTTAACGGACTTCTTGTTAAATTTATAATTATCATTTTGTTCAAAAAACTACGGACACTCTCTAAATATAATATAACTAAGAGTTTATAAATAATATCTATAATAATACTCAAAAAGTTACTTTGCAGAAATAGTAAATATTTTAAACTGATAATAAATAAAGTAGGTAACTGTTTTTTTTTGCGAAGACCTGCTTGAGCGACACTGCAGTAAATGGTGCGTACCGTAATTATTATACTTACCTAGAATTTATAGAATTCAAGACATTTCAATAATTGAAACAATTTTAATAAAAAGTAAGTACCAAGAAGAAGAATGTAGGAAACAGCTGTACAGATGTGCCTGTTAAAAAAATTGTACCGTTATATTCTATATAATTTACGTTTTTTAAATATTTTTACCATAAAATTACACAGATTGTGGGGTGTAGGTTCTTATAATGGACATGTGTAGACATATTTCACTTTTTTAAAGCAGATAGGTACAATATTATCTTAACAAACAAAATTGAGGTGGGTAGAGGGGACTAAGCAGGATTTTTGAGATGGCTCTGTTTAAAAATCTACTAAAGTTGACTCTGCTTTTATTCTAAAACCGAAGTATCAACCTATTCTTGGACGACAAGTCACTATACTATAATTTCTACTATATATTTTTTTATTTACTTTGCTCTTTTAGATGTAGGCCAAGCCTTACTGTTGTACAAAAACATTTATTACTATTATTATCACTAATAAAAAAACATTAATTTAAACCTGGGAACGCTCTGTATATTCTTCACAATTACCATAAATAGCTTAAGCGAAATACTCAATATATTGATTAGATTTAATGTTAGTCTAGCCGTTGAGTATTGATTATTATTTATTAGTTTGTTACACTCCAGAGTAAGAAATGTTTAATAAATTTATTGATACGGGTAAGTGGGGATGTTATTAATAAACGCAATTAATTCTGTTTTAATCGGTGATCTAGTAAACAATACAATCATCTCTCGTGAATAGTCACAAGTATTCATAAAATGAAGAACAGTATATGTTTTTTTATAATAATTATTATAATTACAAAAGTAATCAGTAATAAAAGTTCGGATGATAATAAACGAAAGTTTGGTGAATTTTTAAATTTCGGAAGTAAAAAATTACACAAAAGTGATAAAGTTAATTTAGAAAGTGAAATCGATAGACCTAAAATAGACGTTTTAGGAGATATATTAAAAGAATATATTGAAGCCATCAAAATATTTCCAAAATTAGATATTGTTTTTTTAATAGACTCATCATCGAGTATCGGCGAACACAATTTCAAAAGTGAACTCAAGTTCGTTAAAAAGTTACTCAGTGATGTAATAGTTGATTATAATCATACTCGAGTTGCAGTGGTTGCTTTTAGTTCATCAAATAACATAGTAAGTAAATGCTTATTTGATTTTATTTTTCCCCGAACTCACCTGCCAAATAACAACTTCAAAATACAATTTAAATGTTTGTTCGATAATATATTTAATAAAAAATTCTTACATAAGTTAGATTACGATTTACAAAATAATTAAAAATATATTTTTGTCACCATGTAAATTCATGAATGTAGAAAAGATTTAATAGTAATTTTAGTATTCAAATAATTTAGGTCTTTTGAATGTGCTTTCCATATTCGATATTTGTTGACCAAATTGATCTAATAGTTATTCGTCCTTAAAAGATATTTTTTAAGATTTTTCAATTATGTAGCCCTGAATCCTCTTATCTCAAAATTTTAAAAAACATAAGATTTCCATTAAATTCTTTTTCATAATTTTGTTACAATTTCTATTAAATATTTTGCTAGAATAACAATAGAATAGGATATGTATAAATAGGTAAATAGCGAGTTCAGATAAAACAACCTAAATCCAATAGATTCTGTGAGAATTTTTGCAAATATTCAATGGATCCATTCAGCCACATTCATCCGTCTTTAAATTCTTGGAATCACATTGTAAGAAGGTCCTTTAATAGGTCCTTAAAAATAAAAATTCAGGTACCTAGCCATTCTGTGCAAATGGAAAACAACAAATGCTTTGTCAGAGATTATGTCAGTCTAAGAATTTCCAATTTTTTTTTTCTACAAATCACCATATTTATGATATTTTTATATGAGTTTCTAGTTTTTGGCACTGTTGCGATAAAATCACGATCTTTCTCCGCCTTTTAATTTGCAAATAAAAAACATTACAATTTTTTTAATTTTATTTTCTCTCCATACAAATGATTGAATTCCAATTTAATTTTAACAAATTGTATAATAAATATACCCTTTTTCTAAAAAAATCTATCTATAACAATTTTAAACCTCGTTGATTTTATCTAAATTCATTTTTTCAAAACCTTCACCATCCTAGTATTGCTAATTTTGAGAAATAAAAATTTTTATTAACTTAATTTTGAGGTTAAAAAACTAGATTTTTGCCCCTTTCTGGAAAATCTTCACTCAAAAAAAAAGGAAATTATTTATTTGACAAGGTGAGAGAATTAAAGAAAAAACAATTATAAACCATATAAAACTATAAAATATTGATTACATACTATAGTCTATTTTTATGTAAGAGAGAGTATTAAAATAATAAAGCGTTCGTAATCCATAGGCGTACCACTTCTTTTAGTAGACAGTTAAAATATTTTTTGAAGTTATTCCTCGAGTATACACTTATATTTTCACCTAATTAACCTGCTTATAACTTCTAAACAGCTGAAGGTAAAAAAGTGCAATTTTTTCTAAAATGTTTTATTTTTCCACAAGGTATGTTAAGAACGTTGTGTAAAACGGGTTATGTAGGTATAAGGGTTTAAACTTTGACTTTTAAACAACGTTACGTCCATAAATAATAATTTTAATATAAAAACTACTTCTTACCTACAAATCAAAATCAGAATCGAAATCAGAAGATGAACTGTCGCAACCAATATTTACAATGAGTGGCTCGATCATTTCATCAGTAATATTGTCCAACTTCCACATTTTCTCTTCTTCTTTAATCGTATGATTTACTGCCTTTTCCCAGTTTTCAGGCTTCACATTATTTACAGCCACCAAAAACAACTGTTTAACATCACTTATTTTAAAAGAATTATTTTTTCTTGAAATTTCTCCCTTTATCTATGCCCATATCAGTTCAATCGGGTTTACTTCTCAATGATATGGTGGTGATATAACCACCGTCATCCCACGATTTTTTGCAATTTCATCTTTTCATATTTTTTGAATTTCTCTTTATGAAGGGATCACAAATGATACAGTTCTTTTCTCACAGAACCGGGATAGAACTTAATATTATTTGAATTTAGCCAATTCTGTAAATCTTTTTTTAATCACTTGGTTGTGGGCATTTTTTCTATAAGTATCGAGTGATAATTTGTATTATCCATTACTATTATACAGTTCTGAGGAAGAAGATCTATAATTTGTTCGAACCACTCTTTAAAGACATCAGCATTCATGTCCTCATGGTAGTCACCGGTACGAGTAGATTCAAAAGTCAATAAACCACCTTTAACAAAACCGTTTGAACTACCGATGTGTACTATTATTAGTCTGCGCTCCTTTCCTGATGGTGGATTTAAACCAGTAGATAAATTATTTAAAAAAGCCTGTCTTCGACTTGTAACAGTTTCATCTTGTCAAAATTTATTTGGTTTATGTCCCTCGTTGATCCATGTTTCATCTAAATAAAATATATTTCTTCTTTGGTTTCTCATTTCTTTTATAGTCCTTAGGTAATTTCTTCTCCATACTACAATATCGCTTCTTTCTATTAAAATAGACTTTCTGGAATGCTTTTTCCATAGAAAACCTATTTCTTTTAAAAATTTCCATAGTGTGCTTCGACTCATTTCAGGGTAATCCTTATCATTTCGAACCGTGGCAAGAACTTTGTCTACTGTCGGAAATTCTTTTCTAAAGAAGAACGCATGCACTTTCCTTCGAAGTCTTTCTTTCAAAAGATTTTCTAATTGAAATTTTGGTTTTCCTGGAGCTTTACGTGCTGTTTGAAACTCGCCACATTTCTCTTCTTTAACAACTCTGTAAATCGTAGATTTCCCAACACCAAGCGTACTACTAACTAATTCCACTGTGTTATCAACACTTTTACATAAATGTTTGTCTGTAAATGATTTAAAACAATTAAATATTAATGTTTTTTCATTAACTGTTAAAGGACCGATTTTTTGTCGTTTACGCGGCCCTTCCAAATTTTCCATAATCACACTAGAATTCACACTGCACCTTGCAAGTTGCAACTAAACGACATTTAGTAAACTGTCAAGAATACACAACTTGGACCTCCTTACTAAATGGAAAACCTATAATCGCATTTTCGGTGACATTTGTTGGGAAGGTATTTATTTACTTATAATTCGATTACTGTAAGAAATTCTTGGAATTAAAATAAAACAAAATTGGCAAATAGGTACTTATTGAAAATAATCTTAAGATACGGCTATGTAAATTTTAATACACAGGGATTTTGGCCTGTCCAAACCTTTTTCTATTGTTCTGTACAGCTTATGTTTATAAAGGACCAATAAAAGACCCAAAACTTGTAATAGCTCAGGTACATTTATTACAATTTTAGGAAATATTTAGATTATTCTGTAAAAATATTTAAAATGACCGTACTAAGTTTTGCTTTAGAAATGCTGTTTTATTACTCTCTCATACATAAAAATAGACTATAGATGTAGGCCAAGCCTTACTGTTGTACAAATACATTCATTACTATTATTATCACTAATAAAAAAACATTAATTTAAATTTAAAGCTTTACGTGTTGTTTGAAACTCGCCACATTTCTCTCCTTTAACAACTCTGTAAATCGTAGATTTCCCAACACCAAGCGTACTACTAACTAATTCCACTGTGTCATCAACAGTTTTACATAAATGTTTGTATGTAAATGATTTAAAACAATTGTACCTTTATTTTGACTGAAATTAATTTTTCTTTTGCACCTGGTCGGTAACCTAAAACTTTATAGACTGCAATTTGGCATTTGTAAAAATTTAGACTGCAGTTTCCCGGCACCGAAAATATTAACCCACATCCTACAGCTTTCTTCAACGAACAAAGCCTTTAGAGCTGATTATCTCAGTTTGTCATTTCTGCCTAAAGTTTTTCAATTGTCTTTTCATCCTTTTCTATTTTTGCTTTTCTATTTTATGTAGAAAAATAAAAGTTAAAATATCTATTACCCTCCATTTGTAATGATGTAGATGTCACTACGGCCGACAGTCGGGCCGAAGTCATTTAGCCATCAAATCCCAGTTAATATGCTTTCATTTCCCCTTTAATATCTTTAGAAATAAATATTCAAGAATACTCGTATATTTCATTTAATAATAATTCTTTCAGGTCTATAAAAATTACAATAATGTTCATACGCGTTTCACTGAATCTAATTTAATTTCCGTTTCAGCTAAAAAATGTAGACGAAATTGGAAAAGCGTCGAAAAACTACAGCAAGTGTTCTCTATTAACGAAACAACTTAAGAGCATCAAGTTTAAAGGAGGAGACACTTTCACTTTAGGAGCACTTAAAAAAGCAAAGGTAGGAGGCAACAATGAAATAGACGGACGAATTAAAAAAGACGTTTCTAAAATAATTACGTCTCTGATAGTCCGCAGATATAATGCATGTTTTCTTTTATAAATACCATTTTAATTATGTTTATCTTTGTTTAATTATTGTAACAATGATGATTCTTCAACAGGTTCAATAAAAAACTAATTTAGGTAGGTTATTACTTCATAAAATATCCCAGCATACCTACTAAAAATCGTGGGTTGTGGGTTTACAAATAAAACGCACTATGTCAACATTTTGCGAAAATGTCTTAGTTAGAATTTAAAGATAACTCCAAATCTCTGTAAATCCATGTTAAAATGTGTATAACGTTATTTGTTGTCGAGATTATTTTAGAAATTTTGATAAACTGTTGCTAACTTTACAGATATGAATAGAATGTATTTAACTTTGATTATTTTAGGAAATTTTTGAATCGTCTGACAGAAATGATTCGAAAAAAGTATTATTTTTAATAACTGATGGATATTCCAATGGAGGTGATCCGATTCCAGTAGCAAAAGAGCTTAAACGAGATTTAGTTACAATTTTTACAATAGGAATAAGAAATGGAAACTATAAGGAACTATACGATATATCCTCGACTCCAGGAGAGTATTATAGTTATTTATTGGATAGTTTCAACGAATTTGAAAGTCTGGCGAGACGAGCTCTACATTCAGGTTAGAATTTTTTTTTTCTGGACTAGGTACACATACCTACACATTCATATATTTCAATAATTCTACTTACATATAAATAATAATACACAAATTTAAAGGTATGCAAATTTACAATTTCTAGATCTGAATTGACTATAACTTTAAAAGTTTATTTAATATATTAATTAATTTAACAACTTTATCGATTAATAATTAGGAATTGATATTTTTTGCATGCATAATATTATTTTTATTATTCAAATTAGCTTATGAAATGATAGAAATTATAAATAATTTCAAAGAAATCTGATTAGAAAAAAAATTCATTAGCATTGCGATAACCTCGCAAAGAATTTTAAATTAACTATAAATTATATTAAATGAGAAAAAGTTAAAACGGTGATAGCGTTTAAATAAATAAAGTTCTACCACAGTGTATTCAATCAGTATTGACATCTGGGTGGGAAAAAGACACGCATCTTTTCTGCGCTGACGTTTTCTGGATATATTCTATCACTTGTCATAAATCCTGTCAAAAACTCGAATTGTCTCGCACTAAAAATGGATCTTTTTAATTAAATCCTTCTTCGTTATTTACTTTATTATCCTTGCATACTTCATTAATGAGATCCTAATTTACTTTTTCATTGGTTGTCCTTGATTCGCATTCGTAAATATGATTCTGTAGGATTACGTATAATACTTTTCTGTCGCCTAAATGAGTTAGTTTTTCATTACTGCTACGTTTTTTTTATTGCATTACATTCAAATTTATTGCTGAAAATCTCTATTAGAATAAATATTGAAGCCTATCTATAAGGCTTTTGTTCTTCTTTGTGGATCTCTTTTTTGATGTATATTATAAAAGTAATAAACAGTACAATCTCTGCTTGATTTACCTCTTATTTTATATGAAATTCTTCTGACTCCGCGTCTTGTATAAAGAAATTCATTAATTTTTTTTATTACGACTCTCTTATTAGAGCATTTTCATGTTTTATCAATAAAATGCTTTTTTTTTCTTCATTTAAAATTAGTATATAGGTTGTTTTGTTTCATAGTCTTTGTTTTAAGAAATAATAGCAAGTATTGCTTTTAGAGACAATAACGTTTTTAGATAGCTATATACAAAAAAATGTCTTTGTTTTGAACTAATTTCATTTGATCTTTTGTCATAAGTTTAATATGAATCTTAAGCCTACTGGATTATTTTTGACATACATAAAATATTTAGACCATTAGCATATATTAAAAACAATCACTAATTAATTTAATTTTAAATATTATTATAGGAAGGTACATACTATTATTAAGAAAATTATTCATTCATTAACCCAGAGGAAGTAGCATTTGTTTTTAATACATTTTGCCATAGGCGTACGTAGGAATTTGTCCAGTGCGGCAGAGAAACATTATTTGAGTATATTATACACACCTATTTTATAGTATAGACCAGTGGTCGCCAACCTCTCAATGAGTTGAGCTACTTTGTTAATTTTGGAATAAACAGCGATCTACCCACACGGAAGCCAGGTAACGCAACGTAAATGAAATAATCCACAGTTAATTTATCATTATATGTATTTATTTTAATATTTAACTGGTAATACATAATACATAGGTACTAATAATAAACTAATAACAAAATAACTAATATTACTAGTACGTACTTGTTCATAGCTACATTCCTACCTACCAAACGAAGGTGTTTGAAAAATAAACACAAACTTTTATCCAACCACAACGGCATGTCACGTAAGATTTAAAAATAGTTAATAATAACAACAAAAAAGTAACGCACTATCATGAACATAAACATTGAAAAATAAAAAAGCACGTTCAATGAGAAGGCTGACACTCAGACTCATCGATAATTTTTTTAATGTTTGCAGTATAATTTGATACAGCCATTCGAATACAATTATCCAAATGTTCATCTGTAAGTCGATTGCGATATTTGTTCTTAATAAACTTCATATTAAAAAAAGAAGATTCACACAAATAGGTTGAACTGAATAATGCTTTCACTTTCAAGGCAACACGGCATAGAACTGAATATTTGTCTTTACTTACAATAGGCCAGATACATTTGGTACTTGAGACTACCGATTTTAAGGCTAAATCATTTTGAACCTCAATTACTTCCATTTCTGTTGCAGCGATGTCTTCGCCAAAGTTCTGCATAACACAAGTTGCAAACTGTTGGATATCAACTTCCATAAAGGGTGAAACAACAAACTGCGCTACTAAAGCCATTTCGTTGAAATCCTTAAAACGATTTTTGAAGTTATTCTTCAGGGTAGAAACTATTTCTACATGATATTTGCTGTCATAGGGTTCTAATGTATTTTGAGGTATTTCTTCTGAAAGAATAGGAAAATGCTTGGCATCGCTGTTAATTAGGTTTTGTTCCCAAAACTCCAGCTTTTTGATAAATGCTTTTATATCAGAAATCATTTCCGCTAGTTCTTTGTCTCTCCCCTGAAGCTGCAAATTAAGTTCGTTTAATTTCTCTGTAATGTCCACGAGAAAACCAAAATCTCTAAGCCAGATTGAATTTTATAGTTCAGGAGTCGGTTCATCGCATTGTTTGAAAAATTGAACTATGCCAGATAGGACATCATTAAAACGTTTCAGCACCCGTCCTCTACTTAACCATCGGACTTCAGTCAACTTCATCGGCCAAGGTTTTGAATAATCTTCTTTGTAACGCTTGAGCTCTAATCTTGTTCACAATTTTTACCACCAGTTTCATAATGTTGTTTAGTTTCAGGAAATTTCCACATAATGCTTGCTGATGGATAATGCAGTGGTAACAGAGAAATTGCGGAAAAGTTTCATCTTTACGACATAACGCCACCAGACCCTTATCACAACCCACCATAGCTGGAGCGCCTACCATTTTCGATATTGGAATTTTCTCGGAAGAAATAATATTTTTTAAATGAGAAAACAACTCCTGTCCAGTAGTGTGTCCTTTCAGTGGAATAAACTTCAATCGTAAAATCACTAAAAACCATCCTGACGAACACAGCCATCTGGGCAGTGTCAACGACATCTGTTGATTCATCCAGTTGAAGTGAAAAATAAACACAGTTATCTAAGTCAGTTCTTAACTGTAAAAAAATATCATTGCTCATTACTTCTACACTAATCACTGTATTAGCAGAAAGTTGTATAGATTTTATAGCTTCGTCTTTATTTTCAAAGTTGGCAAATAACGAATCAGCAGCTTCTAAAAACGCCTGTTTTATCATTTCCCCGTCTTCATAAGGTTTCTTTTTTTGTGCAATTATCTGGGACACACGGTACGATGCTTCAATTGCAGCCTTATTTTTGTCGACTCTTCTTAAAAATATTGATTGTTGTCAGACGAGCCGTTTCCGAGTAATTGAGCTTAATAGATCGATGTGTTTTATCGATTTGTCCTTTTTACTTTGAAATTTTGTAACTAATGACTCAATGAATATTTAAAAAAGCTCGAATTCTTAAAGAAAATTTAATGTTCTACAAAAAAAATCTCTTGACATTTTTGTCTACATTTATTTCTTCAAAAGTTATTCACGATTAAAATCGAAGAAAAAAATTGAAATTTTTTGTAGAGAATTTAATTTTATATAAAAATAAGTGAAAAGGAATTTTTTTCACTTTAATTTTTTGACAGTTCTAACGTAAAACATCAAATTATGACTAAAAATCAAAAATAGCGATAATATGATTTTTCAAAAAAAATTTTTGGCCCAGTCTAATAAATATAGTATTAGAATCTAAATATATTGAGGATAGCATCAGTGAAGCTAAGAAAGGCGTTGGAAAGGTACCTAGTACGTGATTGATAGACGAGTAATCAATTTATTTAGTTTTCTCGATAGAAAAACAAAAATAATCTAAGAAATAAACTAATTGTTGACTGTCACTTTGACATTTTTAGATCCGTCAATGTAAAATATAACCCAGCCTAAATGAGATCCTAATTGGAGGTGTGTTTAAGGCACGAATTCATGTCAATATATTCTTCTTATTATTAATAATAGTATTATTATTATTATTATTATTATTATTATTATTATTATTATATACATATTTAGATCCGATTATTACCTATTGCAGACTTGAAAAATGGAGATTATGTTCCACTGGGAAGCAATGCATTTTGTAATAGTTTGTGCGACGAAGGGGACTGCTGTGATAAAAAATCTGTATGCTCGTGTGGGACGACAACAGGACATTATTCATGCGTATGCAAACCAGGCTATTATGGCACAGGTTTAAGAGATAATTGTTTTCGTAAGTATATGCAGCATGTCTTTAACAAAATTATGCAGATTTATAAGACGAGAAAGAATCTTTTTACTTAATTAAAATTATTAAAAATATATTGGTAATTTTATTCAAATTATTCTTTAATGTTATATCTATTAAATGGAAAAAAATGTAATGCGGGAAGCATTCTATCAGATATGAGTAGTAGGTAGGAATTTTAATGTAGAATACGTATAACTATTACATAACTGGAAGGGGCAACGTCACAGCTGAAGAGCAAAAAAGATAAAAAAACAAAACATAAAAAAACAGAAAAAATGGTCTGGTAGTCACAAAAATATATTTAAAGAATGAACTTTATATAAATTTGTAGAGAAGGTCTTGGATTTCAAATCGCTACTTCAAAAGTTCAAACCTCCAATCATTATCTTTTCATTTTTGTGCTATTAATTCTATTTAGGGTTAATGAGTTTAAAGTGATTTTGAAGCAGACTTGTCAGGACAGATTATAGATTACCCGAGGTGGTATATAACAGGGTAATTATTCCATATTTAGTATTATTTCGATTAGCATAAATTTCTGGTGGCTCTTGGGATACATACTCCTCCTTCTCTACGTGACTGAATAGATGTTTCGAATGCTTGTTTGTTTGTTGTCTTGCAACAAAATTCAATACTGGTATTGCCAGGTTGAAACCAATTCAAATATTTGTATATTCGCTTTATAAACGTACACAAAAGGATGGAATGAAACAAAGCTCAACGGAATAACAAGACAGTTATCATGATACAGTATGTTTCATTTCTATATCCATTGTGTAACTAATAAATACATTTCTAGAAATTATGAATTGTATTAATAGTACAGTCTTTTGAGTTTCGTATTATATTAAAAAAAATGTAACTAAAAAACATATTTAGGTTCTTTTTTTAGTCCAACTATATGACAACAGTTTAAATGAGATTAGAGCATTCACCAACGAAGTGATGCAAATGAGTAAGGTACTAGGATCCTTAAACAGTTGCATAATAAGCCTCGAAAGCTGCAGTATCAGCCAGGCTTGAGCCCTAGCAATGAATTAGGGTAAAAAAACTGATCCCAATACTTTTTTATAGTATTTATACATACAAATAAATCTAAAGATATATTTCTTCTAATTGAACTAACTTGGAACAGCTTTTTTGGTACGAGGATTTCAAAAACACATGGGCTTAACATTAAGAAAGATTATTTTCTAGGTGCCTCTATTTCTTTTCAATCTTACCTAGAAATTCTTTTGGCAGCACCCTGATTGATATTTTTCTAAAAAATATCTTACATTTTAAACTTGGAGTGGCCATGTGTGAGTTGGGTTATTAAATGAAAAGTGTTCGAGGCAGTTTACATTTTCTACACTATCCTTCGACCGCAATGGACTCTACATTCCTGGGTTATCCTTCTGCTGGTATGAAATAAAATGCTGGCAATCATTTAATATTGTAGATCCATGATAAAACTTTCTTTACAACACTAAACTACATTTAGAATTGTAGTAAAGCACTAACTTTGACGAATTAATCACACTTTTTCGATTTAAATATTGGTTTAAATGACATTACGTCTACTTGAATAAAAGACCGGTGACTGTAAACCAAAGTGATTTGGTTGAGAGTCATCTTCTGCCTGTAGAGGCAAGATCGCGTCCCTTGGATTAACGTGTCAAACCAATCGCTTTGGAATTAACTAATCACATGACTCGTGACGTGGATCGAATAATGACCTCGATAATTCTAAGCGTGCCTGAGTTGGACTCAAATTGTTTAAATTTAAAAATTTGTTCTGTGTTCTGATGATCTAAATTTATTATGTTGAAGGAACTTCAAAAAAAGGGTAGGAAAAAAGTCCTTTATATCTCACAATGATCGGTTCTTAAAATTAAATCATTGTTATCTTGCTGCTACCAATAGAAATTCACCATTTTTCTTTTTTCTCTTACCTACTAGGCGTGTCTAGAGATGACGTTTTAGACTTCGAAACCGATTGCTTATAAATACATATCATTGTGAAACTTTTCTTTTCTACCCTTACATTTATATTACGTTTCTTGTTTTTCAATCGTTCTTCTTTCTTTCCATTTACGTCTCCCATTGACATTTTTTTACTTTGCAGCATTTCTTATATTTATTTATTGTTTTCTCCTCCTGAAAAGTTCTAGTTTTCACGTATGGTACTTAAACATATGAAATATGTATCTCTAATGTCCATATTGTCCATTCCACACGGAGCTCATTTTGGTTTTTATTTTTTAAAAGGTGTGTAAAATGCGAATACAAAAAAATTAATATTTTCTTTAAGCTTGTGTTACAGGAACATATTCTGATGGACCAAATTCTTGCTTACCATGTCCTGATCCTTTTCATACAACTACTATTCCAGCTTTCGGAATAGAGAGCTGCAAATGTAAGGAAGGATACAGAGCTGTAGCTAATAGAGAATGTAGAGGTAATAAATTACGAGTAATATTATGAATATTTTTATTATAATGCTGTTCAAATTCCAAGGTGGTTATGAAAGTCAAAAATTGCTCAATGTGTATAATAATACTGATATTCAAGTTCTTCTTATTCGCAAAATTCTACCAAGAATATTTTTATTTTAGAATTGAAATGTCACAAAATGTCTGCTCCTGAAAATGGATACTATGTTAAAAATAAAGTATGTCCCAATGTCATTTTTAGTGCTTGTGGTATTCGATGTGAAGTAGGATATACTTTGAAAGGTACCAGCGTAAGATTGTGTCAAAAAAATGGTACATGGAGCGGAAAAGAAACTAAATGTGAAAGTATGTATATAATTTAATAATAGTTAAATGAAGAGGTAGAAATGAAAAAAAGTCTTAATAAGTTCGTCTCATATTTTTAAAAAATAATTGTTTTTTTTTATTTTGTGACGTTTTATTTAAATTATTTTAACCCTGAGAAGTACCAACCTTTTTAACAACAGTATCTAAATAATAACGAAAAAATTTAAGGGGTGATTCTATGATGAAAATTAAGGTGGTTAGGTTAGGTTTAAAATTTTTTGAAAACCCTCCCCGGAAAGGTCACACCCCTCCAGAGATAAAAAAAAATATTTTTCTTTTTTATTTTCCGTGTATATTAAGCTAAAGACATGTAAATATTATTTGTCAATAAAATAACATTTTTTGAAATTTGTTCAACCCTAAAGTATGCTTAGAAGGGGTTGAAATGGACAAAATTATCAATAGATAAGCCTATTATATATCTAATAAAATTTGTAGATTTTGATTTTCATTACCTATTCAGTGAATTTTAGGCGAAACCTTCTATTATCTTCAAAACTGTAGTATTTACTACCCACCTATTCATAAAGTTAAAATAATTTCTAGGAATATCCGTTTGTAACAATGGTTTTTGTCAAAAGCTGAACGTATAGTAAGTTCCGAGATATAAGCCGCTCATACAGTTAATTAACTAACTTTGCTGTCTCCAAGTTTGATTGCACTAATGAATTAATCAAATATTTTCTGTCTTATTTTTGATTATGTTTATCTCTTGTAACTATTTCATTATTTAGAATTCCTAATTAGTAAAGTTTAAACATACAACTGCACTAGGAATATATACAAAGAGAAATCTGTTTCGCGCTGCCAAATTTAAGCATTTATTTCATAGAGAAATAGCTAAATAGCGAAAGTTTTTTACAAAATTGAATAAGTATTTAAAATATTTTTAATGGTATCATAATAGTATTTGTTTCCCCTCTATTAAAAAGTAAGTGGTCCGAAGATATGTATGGCGATTAGTTAAAAATGCTCTCTGGAAAAGTACTGTGCCATTTTACATCGGCATCTTGTTTTAGGTCCTTTTCTACCATTGCATAATAGTATATTATGCAACGATCATGTAATGATGGTTATTAATACACGAGCATTAACCGGGATACGAAACGAGCCAAAGGCGAGTTTCGTATGGTTTATGCGAGTGTTTTAATAACCATTACATGAGAGTTGCATACGCTATTTTTTCTACACCCGATAAATAATCAAGACCTATAAATATTCTATTTATATTGGCATTGAACACAATAACAGTAATTACTCGTATTTCTATAAAAAATTCTACAAAATTGTAATTAATGGTATTACCTTGGGTATTGGTATTACCACAGATTTTTGGGGCAAAATATTTTGTACTGCATTTTCTCCTTTCTCCGATATGTGTGGAGGAGTCTTCTATATCGCTGATATCAGACATTTTAATATTATAATTATCGAAGTTTAGCTATCTACGAAAATTTAATACGTTTTGACAACTAAAACAATTACATAGGAATTTAGGACAAACGTCAAACATCATGCTTGATTGAAAAATTGTAGGTTTCTATTGATTAAAAATCTGTATCATAATGAAAAATCTGTATCATAATGGGTATCATTATGAAACGGAATATGGGCATATAAGTGCATTATTATAATACGGGTGTAGAAAAAATATATTTCTTACACCAATCTTCTACATCCCAATAAAATCTATCCAGTGTCCTCTTAGTACCAAAATGTCCCTTCTGGGCGCCTGCTATGAAGCTCCTCCAACACACTTCTGACATGTGATATCTGCAGTACCAATTGAGGGACTATATGTACTCCATCAGGGTTCTCCCACTTATACAGGGAATCCCACTGACTCCACTATATTTGGCTATCTCTTGCCAATTAGGTCTGACTCCAATTTTGATTGTTTCTCAAGTTTTCAAGGGTGATTTCATCTAGATAATCTACTGCGAAGAATCCTGGTGTCACTGACTGCTTTCTAATCGTTGTTGGAACAAACCTTATATTTTGTTATAATACCACAACGTTTTATTATTGTTGGAAAGCAGCATCAGATGACATAGGAATTATATTCTCAAAATAAAAGAATTTTATACCATCCTAAGATATCACTACTATACTTTTAAACGTTTGTATTTCACTATATATTTTTTAGTTATTTGTCCATTTATTTTAGTTAAAACTTGTGGTCCCTTAGAAGGACCGAAACGTGGAAAGTTGGAATGTTTTCAGCCCGATTTGAGAAGAAAATTTAAAAACGTCACCACGATATTACCTGTGGATACAATTTGTAAATTTACTTGCAATGAAGGTTATATATTATCTGGATCAAAGGAACGAACTTGTCTTCCGATAGCAAGATGGAGTGGTTTGAAAACTTTGTGCAAACGTAATTATTTTCTTTTCTCATTACTAATTAACTCAACATTATCTACGACTTTTAGTAGATTTACAATTAAAATGTATATTAATTTCTCCACCTCTTGAACTTGACCTTGACTTTGATCAAATGCACACAGTTTAGCTATTAATCTCTGTAAAGATAGAATCTTTATATCAACCTTGAAAAGTTGCAAAGTTGCACTTCACGTTATATTAACCTTGAGCGAAATATATCGATTATGTTCATATACTTGTCATATAATCATCATATTACCGACCATTAATTGATTAATGACATGCAAGTTGTCGAAGAAAAATTAATTCAAATGCAATTTTTTATATTTCATACTGTTTTTAAGTGGTTAAATCTCAAATATATAACTCTCAAGCGATGACTAAAAAGCTTTAAAGTTAGGTAGTTTTGGAAATTTACTCCTTACTGTTACCTTTCAAAAGACCCACCTTCAAATAATGCAAGCTAATCATCAGTTTCACACGCCCACCCTTTTTTTGTGATTTAAATTAATTAATCTTTTTCTATATTTTTAGCAATAAAATGCAAAAAATTAATGTTGATTAATTTTGGTTCAATCACGCCTCTTTCTTGTCAATTTGGCCGTCAAGACTATGGTAAAGTATGTAAATACGCTTGTAATGATGGATTTGAACTTCATGGTCCTTCAGAAAGACGTTGTTCTGAAAGAAATGGTATATGGGATACTTTGGAAAAAGTTACTTGTTCAGGTAAAAAAAATTGGAAAATCTGAAACACCAGTTGTTGTTATGTCGTCTCCATTTTCTTACTTATATATCTGTACTAGTTAGTACTAAGGAACAATCTTTTTTCACCATGATATAATAATGAGTCAATAATGTTTATTCGCCTATTAAAAAATACCATACATTAGTTGAGGCTCAGTTAATGAGTGACTCTAGAATTGCTTATTATTTTGTTTATTAGTTTTAAATTTGAGTTTCCCGTGTAGAATTTATGATTTGGTTGAAGATAGACGATCAAAAGTTCCTTGATGTGGGTTACAATACTTTCTTTAGTCAAGAAACTCTTCGATACTTAATAAAGAATACATCCTAAAATATTGGTGTAAGAGCTGGTAGTCCTAGATCCTAAGTACTAATAGGATCTAAGTCTAGTACACATAGAACTCGGTTACTACTAAAAAAATTTAAAAAATTGATATTTTTACAGATATTTCGCCACCAAATATATCTTGTCCTGGAAATATTATGGCTGATAGTTTACCAAGAAAAAAGTTTGGGCATGCGTCATGGGATAATCCAATAGTAACAGGTAAAATGAATATCGATATCCTTGTACAACAAATAAATCTATTCTTAGTATTAAATATTAACCAACATTAAACTTTTCAGATAATTCCAACTTGAACATTACCGTTTGGACTGAACCTGCAATAACGAACATCTCAATTCACAAATTTAAAATTGGAAAAACGAAAGTTCAATATTTTGCTCAAGACGCCTTTCAAAATAACGCAAATTGCACTTTTGAAGTCATTATTAAAGATAGTGAACCGCCATACTTTGAAAATTGTGAGGATCCACCAATATTTTTATCAAACGATCCATCAGGGGCGAATATTACTTGGGAGGAACCACACGCTTCCGATAATTCCCAGAATGTTATGGTAAATTTTATCTCTACTGTAGTAGTAATAGCAGCACTATATTCCAATAAACCTGATTTTTCCCCAGATCTGGGGAAAAAAATTGAACCGGCAACGCCGTAATGTCATAGACTAAACATGGCAAAGCTTCAAATTCCCCAGCACTAGCAGATTTATATAAAATCCAAGATGGGCGCTATATGAAAAACAATTACTGAATTTATTACAAGGAGTACTTAATGACCTGTCAATCATTAATTATAAACAAAGTAATTAATGATTGACAAACGCCTGACACCTTGTAATGTATTCAGTAATTGTTTTTCATCTTGGATTTTAAAGAAATCTGGGTAAAATGGGGCTAGTGCTGCGGAACTTTAAGCTTTGCCATATGTTTAGTCTATTGCATTACGGTGTTGCCGGTTCCATAATTTCTCCAGATCTGGGGAAAAAGCAGGTTTACTGCTACTATTACTACTTACTATTTCTACTGCTAACAATATAACTACATTCTAAATAATCAAATCACAGTTACACGTTTTCTCCATTTATTTCTATCTTTAGTTTTATTTTTCGCCTTCTTCTAATTTACCACATGTGCTTTTATTTATACTGTTTCCTCAATCAGTAGAGATACACTGTTTGATGTAACAATTGTTAAAATGCCAACGAAATCTTAGAAGTAGTTATAAAATGTAAAGTTAGAATAATTCAAAAGTTTAGACAAAAGAAAAAAGATTCTGAAAATGGTTGTTAGACAATATTATAGATAGATATATCAGAATTATGATAATTAAGAGAGAAAGAATATATAATTGGTCAATAAAAATTGATCAATTTAACTGTTTCAGTTCAGAAAAATTATTATACTTTTTTCAGTTAACTAAATCCCATGAATTTGGATTTTTCAAAATTGGAACAACTCCAGTAAAATATGTTGCATTGGATAACCATAACAATAGCAATATCTGTATAATCAATATAACAGTTGAAGGTATGTAATTAAAACTACGAAACAATTGTTAATTTCTGCAATCACTTTTTTACTCATTAGATTTTAAATCAAAGCTTTGTTCTTTTAGTTTCAAAATGTGAACCATTACCAGATCCACCAAATGGTCGAAGTATTTGTATGAATCAATCGTATGGGGTTCGTTGTTTGATAACATGTGATGAGGGTTACAGTATTCCAGTTACCCAGGTGACAGAGAAAGGTATAGGGTATATAAATCATAATAATTGTTTTTTTTTTTAATTTGTCCACAATTCTAATTTGGACAAAAGAAATATTTAATAAATGTTTCTTTCTAATATTCTTCTGTGAAAAAATAAGAAAGAAATCAAAGTTTTTCAGATAATGATACACTTTTTGTTTGTAATGATGCTTCTCCGGTATGGTACAGTGAAAATGGATTTATGTTTTCGGATTGTTCAGGTAAGAATAATTCTCTAAGACCTACAATTTTTGTTTTTGTTAATTTTTATATTTACATCTAACGTCCTTCAATTCATAGTAATATTTTGATACACATGGATGAAATATGCAAAATTTCAACTACACAGCTTTATACAATAACAAGTTATAAAAGTAATTTCGATACAGACTCCAAAAATGAAAAGTTTGATGATTTTCTCATGAATCACATCAATAGACCTCAATCAAATTTATATTGGCATACCCCCTTTCTAACAAAAAAAAATCTGACATCGTGGTAAAAAAATATGTCTGAATATACCTAAAAAAATATTCCGACTGTTGAAGAAACCGTCAACATTATATATTCGAATTTAAAAAACATAATTTAGTACGCCATTGGCAAGTACAGAACTTTGTCGAAGGTGTTACGTAATCTTAACCATAAACTGATAAACTAATTATTTTAATAGATTGATTTTAATAGATTTTAATAGATTTTAATAGATTTTAATAGATTTTAATAGATTTTAATAGATTTTAATAGATTTTAATAGATTTTAATAGATTTTAATAGATTTTAATAGATTTTAATAGATTTTAATAGATTTTAATAGATTTTAATAGATTTTAATAGATTTTAATAGATTTTAATAGATTTTAATAGATTTTAATAGATTTTAATAGATTTTAATAGATTTTAATAGATTTTAATAGATTTTAATAGATTTTAATAGATTTTAATAGATTTTAATAGATTTTAATAGATTTTAATAGATTTTAATAGATTTTAATAGATTTTAATAGATTTTAATAGATTTTAATAGATTTTAATAGATTTTAATAGATTTTAATAGATTTTAATAGATTTTAATAGATTTTAATAGATTTTAATAGATTTTAATAGATTTTAATAGATTTTAATAGATTTTAATAGATTTTAATAGATTTTAATAGATTTTAATAGATTTTAATAGATTTTAATAGATTTTAATAGATTTTAATAGATTTTAATAGATTTTAATAGATTTTAATAGATTTTAATAGATTTTAATAGATTTTAATAGATTTTAATAGATTTTAATAGATTTTAATAGATTTTAATAGATTTTAATAGATTTTAATAGATTTTAATAGATTTTAATAGATTTTAATATATTTTAATAGATTTTAATAGATTTTAATAGATTTTAATAGATTTTAATAGATTTTAATAGATTTTAATAGATTTTAATAGATTTTAATAGATTTTAATAGATTTTAATAGATTTTAATAGATTTTAATAGATTTTAATAGATTTTAATAGATTTTAATAGATTTTAATAGATTTTAATAGATTTTAATAGATTTTAATAGATTTTAATAGATTTTAATAGATTTTAATAGATTTTAATAGATTTTAATAGATTTTAATAGATTTTAATAGATTTTAATAGATTTTAATAGATTTTAATAGATTTTAATAGATTTTAATAAATTTTAATAGATTTATATGTATAAATTTGTTTATTTTTTTCAGAAACTCAAATTCCCATTGAAGAGCAAATCGGTGACATTATAATATCAGACATAAAAAACTGCAGTGATTTACAAAATATAGAAACAGTAAGTACTTTAGTTTGTAATTAAAAGTTTATGGTAAAAGTGAGTTAAATTTCCTCTTAACGAATATAGAATAGTGTATCGTTTAAGGAGTAAGAAATGCTTTGCATTTTCTACGAATAGGAAATGAGTTTTCCTTGCTACTTGAACACTATATTTTTTATGAGGCTACAATTTACTAATGAAGAGGCAAACAATTGCAAAGCATGTGATTACTAATTACAGCCTACTCTTCTTTTGTGTAGAATTATTTTTGGTTTTAACTTCTACGCCTTATACCGATTTAAATTTATTCTATTTATATCGCAGGAGGCTATATTCCCAGCATTTTGGAGACACCCTGTAATTTTAGTTCACAAAAAATATTGTGTAATACATCAAAAATCGAGGATTAAAATATATCATCTAACTTCATAGAATTAGAGCTGGGGTGGTCACTTTATACATATTTTTTGTGAATAAAATGACCATAACTTACAATTTGCAACTTAGTTCCCGTAATCGTATTTAACTAAAGCCAAAGTTTGATTAATTTGCGGCATCTCGTTCACAAGTTTGCGCCAGAGCAGAGCTATGAGTATAAACGTTGTTAACTTCTGTTATTATATCTATACTTCCACAACTTCTTGTATTAGTTTTGGTTTCTATCTACACTTCAAAAATGTATTATTTGTTATAGATAAAAAATGATGTCATACTTTTTGTTAACACAGAATTATGTACCGAAAACTGCACTCTTTCTACAGACTTTGATTGTAAAGCTGAAAGTCTACCGGAAATCAACAAAAATATCAGCAATATTGTAAAAAGAGAGGTATAAAAATTGTGTTATATTAATGGCAATCAATAATAATGAGCAATAATTGTAGACTAAAAGGAATAAAAACTGGCACAGAGTAAATGTAAAATACAAATTAAGACGAAAATATAACAAGAAAAGCAAAATGTTATCGAATTCGCAAATTAAATTAAAGTCTGGTTACAAAGCTTCAATTAATTACGAAACCAAAATTATTTGTCCACTGGGGTCAGTCCAGAGAAAAAAGAAGTGCGGTAAGTGGAATTGTTTATTTATTTTGACAGTTTTTATGATTTAATTACTGGTGTTATCTTGATCTAATTAATTTGCTAAAACTCAAGCTCCACACCCCATACTAGGAAATCACAAAGAAACATTTTTAACTTTTTAGTATATTGTCCAAGAGGAACTTTTCACAATGAAACTAGAAATATATGCCAAAGTTGCCAATTTGGAAAATATAACAACATAATTGGACAAACATCGTGTGTTCAGTGTCCAATTCACTATTCTACCAGAAAACTACGATCTAAAAAACTTGCAGACTGTAAAGGTAAGATTTTTACTACTTAAATTTCTCAACAAAATTCATGCCGTGTTAGCAACCAGTAATACATTTGGTATTGTTGGTTGCCTACACTAAGTAAGAGGTTATACTAGAATTAAGATAAGGTGAAACTTGGAACTTGGTTAAAGTCGGTAGACTCCATTTAGGTAAAGCCGAACATCTGGAACGTAATTCTTTTCATAGCTGATTCTTTTTTCCATGCTGGAGAATCGACAGCACGATGTTTGCAGACATATCCTTCTCATTTGGTTATACATACACAGCAGAGCTCATGATCTCGGATATAAGCGAAGACCATTATTGACGGGTTAGAGATAATTCCTTTGTCAGTGCTCTTTGCAATACTAAAAAATACCTAGCTCTTCAGCTCAGACCAAAGCAATTTTAGTTAGTGCTTTCACAACCTACTAGTACAATCAGAAATTATGGCAATTTTTATCACATCTTCCCTTTTGCTTTAATTCATTTATATGAGTGGGCTACTGGCATAATTCTTATCGAAAAACTAGTCAATGTAGAACGAATGATATACTTTTAATGTATTAAAAATATTTATATATTTCCAGAACAGTGTCCACCAGGTACACATGCCAGAAAGAGAATCCAGAAGGTCTTTAAACGTTTTCATAACACAACTATTGAGAAAACTACTTTAAAACCGCATTGTTATTCATGCGGTATTGGATTTTATCAACCAAACTTTGGAGAACTGAAATGTTTACTGTGCCCTCAAGGATATACGACAAATACAATAGGATCAACCAGTATTGAACAATGTATACCTACCTCGAAAGAACTTTGTAGAAGAAATGTTTGCATTAATGGCATATGCACTACTATAAATGATTATGAATATACTTGTAATTGTTATGATCGTTATATAGGTAAATTATTTTATTGTTTTTACCGTTCGAGACATCATTAATTTTTTTCTTAATGAGGTACGGACCTCCCAAGACCTCTGAAACTCAGGAAAATAACCCTTCTGTCTTTTTGGTTTATGGAGCCAGACATTGTCGCCTTTCTTTAAATATCCTTCTGTGACTTGGGTATCGTATCGCTTCTTCATTCTGTCGCTGGCGATTTGAAGATGCGAGCGTATCAACTCATGCATGTTGTTCCTTTTTCTTCACCGGCTATGTCTTGTCCAAGTCAGAATTCAAACTCGAAATCTCACGATAGTGTCATCTAATGCCCAAACAGGATCTGTAGGTTATTGTGAAGAGCGAAAGATACTAATACTACTTTTGACAGGTACTAGTCAATGGTCTTATTCATTCGTTCCACCATTCCATCCAATTGTAGGTGAAATGCTGTAGTTCTGGTTTTCTTCATGCCTATTCTGTCACAGATTCCCAGAAGAGCTTGCTTTTAAAATTTCTGACTTGGTCACCATGGATCTCCAATAGTATATTTAATATATTTATCTAATATTGTCTTCATTAATTTTCTTCTTGCAATTATAACCTTATTAATCAATTATTAGTTTCCAACATATCTGCATTATTTATATTGCTCTGATTTTACATTTTTTTACCTTAATTATAATTTCCTCTGTTTGTAATTACTAATGTATCTTTTTTTGGCATTTATTATTTCTTTTCTCATCATAATCTTAAAGCGGTACTACTCTTTAAATTCCAAGAAATCAAATTTACTTTATTTCTAAAGTAAACATTTTTTAAGGTTCTCATTGTGAACAACAAATAAACTTTTGCCAATCACAGCCCTGTTATAATGATGGAATATGTTTATATACCTATCATGAATATATTTGTTCTTGTAAGGAAGGATATGCGGGGAAATTTTGTGAAGAAATTATTGAAAAACAGACACTGACATGTTTAAATAATGGCATAACCTATTTTGAAGATAATGGCACTACTGTTTGCGTATGTCCGTCTGGTAAGTAAAGAATTTTAACTATAAGAGGGAGGAATACTGAAATATAGTTTTCTTACAATAATTTCTAAAGAAAACCTTGTGTTTTTGTAAGAACTAGTCTAAAATATCAAATTTTAATATCAATATTATTTAAAAATACAATAGGTTTTATTAGAAATAAAAAAATTGATAAAATAATTAGAATTTTTGTAGAATTAATGTTATTATAATTAAAGAAACCATTGTAATCAATATACATAAAAAAAAATCTACATAGAACTGTTTATTCAACATAAAATGAATGTTTTAGGATATACAGGAGAGCTATGTGAAATTAAAATAAATTTTTGTGAAGAAATGTTTTGTGAAAATAATGCTACATGTATTGAAGAACAAGGACGAGGTAACTGTAAATGTTCAGGAGGGTTCATAGGAACAAGATGTCAGTTATTACCATGTGATTATAAACCGTGTCCTGAATCAAAAATTTGCCTTAACACATATAAAGAAAATTCTACAATTGATAGTTATTTGTATGTCAAGTAGTTGTTTTTTAAAAAAGTTGAAAGCATTTTTATATTATTTTTTAGTTGTGTTTGTCCGGATGGCTTTACTGGTGAAAATTGTGAAGAAAGAATAAATTACTGTTTAAATTCGCCGTGCCTCAATGGAGGTATTTGTAATAATGATTACACAAACTTCACTTGCACTTGTTCAAGTTTATATTATGGTAGTCACTGTGAATTAAAAAGAAGCACCAAATATATATTCAACTTTGAAGGCTATACCACAACCAATTACGTAAAGCTTATGCCTTTCGTGAAAAATCTAACTGATGTTAGTAAGTTTTAATTATTATCCTCGATAATTTTCATTTAAAAAATGAGAATCGTCATTTGTAGTTGTAAGCTTCGATTTGACTGATATTATTTTGTTTTATTTTGAAAATCATACCGAATTTTTTATTAGTAAACTTCCATATTGCCCAAGCAAGTAAATTTTAAAAAATGACCTCTTACTCCTATTTTCAGGACTAAACACCTAAAGATTTATTAATAAAAAATGTATCTCATGATTATTGTTATACAAAATATTGGAAGTGGAGTTACAATTTGGCCCATTACTCTATGAATCACCCTATATATCTATAAAAATTTGCGTGAAATCGTTAAATTAGATCCAAAACTATTTACCGAGTTAGGTGAGGTTTAATTTAATTTTGTTTTTAGATCAGTGTTTGCCTATGGATACAAACTCTAGACGATGTGAATTATGGAACAATTATTTCATATGCCACGCAATCTCACGATAATGCATTTACTTTAACAGATTATACAGGGTATTTATTTTAGTATTTTCGTAAGATATAAGATTGATATTTTAATATCTAAGCCTACGGCATTATAAATGTCATTTTAATCTTTGCTTAGTAATTTAAACTTTGTACTTTTAATATTTCTATTCAAGTGTTTGTGCATTTAGTGGATTTTAAATTTCTGTAATAGTAATTGTGACTGGAAAAATTGCAAAAAACATTATGCTTAGGTACACCATGCCGTATTCCCTCACTGAACAATATTTTAAATGTTTTAGGCTTGTCATATATATTAATAATCAATATGTAGTGACTGACGTTCACTTAAATGATGGACTATGGCACCATGTATGTGTTACGTGGAGTAGCTTAAATGGTAGCTACAAAATATTCGTCGATGCCAAACTTACAAAATTTGGTTTTAATTTGGCACCAGAAAGTCAAATACAAGGCAAGTATAAAGGACAACTAATTTAGTAAAAATGAGTTTCTTTTATCATTGATATAAGTATTTTAAAATCTATAACATCGAAACGAAACGTCAGGTTGATGATTTAATGATATGACCGATTGATCTAAAATTTGGTACAAACCTTTAGTTTTCGGTAACAAGATGGCGAATTACATTTTTTAACCTCCTCGATATGGGTATCAAATGAAAGGGCTTGACTAGTAGAATACAGTAAATCATAAAAAGTTCTTTTATATAAAATTTGTGAATAGCTTTCTCAAAAAACTTTTCCAGATCAACCGATCACCAAAACAATCAAAGCCCCATTATCAGAAAGCTCTATTAATCTCAGTATAGGAAACTTTAAAAAAATGACATTTGCACTAAGAAAACTAGAGAAACTTCGAGACAGTATTACTCTATTTAAAATTATCAAATTTAATCTACTTATATAATAATTTCGAATATTTTCATTTCTAAGGTATGGGTAGTTTAATATTGGGTCAGGATCAAGATATTTTTGGTGGAGAATTTAGCCAAAGTGAATCATTTGTCGGGAAGCTCACTTATATAGACATCTGGTCTAAAGTTTTAACTGAAAATGACGTTTTAAAACACTTTATCGATTGTGAAGATTCGTTATTCGGAGATTTATACGCTTGGCCCGTAATGAAAAAATTTGCCCAAGGAAGCCTAAAGGTAAATGCTAACCAAAGCAGTGGGGGTTCACAATAACAGAATATAGATCTGGAACAGATTTAAGTAAAAAAAAATCAGTAGTTATAAATTTTGTCATTGTGAACCCTCAATTTTTTGGGAACGAGCCGCCACTGAACAAAAATTTATTTTGAAAAATCCTTACTTGTCTAATAGGTCGAAGAATCAGATTTTTGCAAAAGCTGTCTATCTCCGAAAACGTTATACAATGGATATATTGAAGTTATCCACAATACTGCTTATTATTCCTGCTATACTGGTTTTACACTAAATAATCCAAAATTTACTGAAGGACGACAATGTACCAAAGCTTCATATTGGGAAGGTTACTATGAGCCATTTTGCAAACGTAAGTTTATTTAATATTATTTTTCTTTTAACTTGAGAACTGTCATTGAAATATGCATGAATCATAAGAATCTCTGCAGAAATAATATTACCGAAACTTTGGTTTAAAACATAAATTATTTTGTGACATATATGGATTCCAGATTTTATTTTAAATAGTTATTAGTTTTCTAAATATTGATTTGTCATGTAAGTTTTGAGAAAAACGCAAAAACTAAATAATTATTTTTCTTTTATTTAAAAAAATGCATTATGTATCAATTGTCTACATGATGTTCATTTAAATGTAACATACAAGTATGTTAAATGCAAATATGTTCTAAAAAACATCATACAATGCTCCACATTGATCAACATACCGAAAGTGGCCCTTCAACTTCTCATATCGCGTCATGCCCTCAAGTCACTAATATTTTACATATTAAATTCTAAACTAATCCTATTTTTTTGTCCACAGTGGTTGTTCAGGTTAGTGACAACTTTGGATTTGTACATAAATGCAGAGCACTGCTTGACAGTGGGTCTCAATCACATTTTATTACTTTAGCTTTTGCTTTTCGTGCAACCTACTGATATGTCTGTGGTCGGAATCTCTTACTAGTCTAATACCTGTTACTAATTTTGATTTGTGAATTTAGGAAAGTATTGCGGATATCCAGGGTCGATCAGAAATGGTTACATCACAGGAAAAAGATACTTTTTTCAAGATAAAATTAGTTATATCTGTTATGAAGGTTACAACATGATCGGTAACAGTACCATAATGTGCAATGAAAACGGACAGTGGGTTACAGAAAAACCTCGTTGTATAGGTAAGATTTTTACTTTTAATTAAGTACATCAGAACTCAAAGAAACATTGAAAATTAGTTGGGACTAAGGAAATAGCATTATAAATTGAACTTGTACACCTATATAGTATATTTAGAATGCACATTAAGCAATAACACTTTTTTATTAACATTTTTAATACCTATTAATAGTTTATGAATAATATAATATTTTAGGTACACAATGCACTGCTTTTACAAAACCGGAAGAGAGCGAGCTAATAATTATGTCTGATCAAAGTTATGAAGATTACAAAGAAAATAAAACTCAGTTTGACATTGGAACACAAATCGAAATTATATGTCCTGAAAACTATGAATTAATTGGCGAAAATATAATCACCTGTATGGAAAATGGTAAAACCAATTTCAATTTTATTACAACAAAATCCATGGTTTCGGGAAATAAAGGAATAAGTCATTTTGGGGTCAGAACGAGTTAACTACATTTCCTTATAGAACTGTAATTTGTTGTTTTATTTAAGATAAAAATATTTCTAATTGATATGGTGCGAATGGAAAATTTTGCCAACATACGAGTGGCAGCTACCCTAGATCACAATAATTTAAAAATTTATATGAATTCATACCTATTTAAAATCAGTACTTCAATTTCAATTAATTCTCCTGAAAAGTAACACATTTGGAATTATCCCCTTATTTTCCAAAACCATCGAATTATTATATAAGTAAATGAACACTTATTTATTAGGAACGTGGGATTTGACACCTCCTAAATGTTCAGCCAAACTAAAATCGAACAAAATAGGATGTTCTTTAGAGCAAATTCCTAAAGCACCTCTGAATGGATACATTGATATGGATTCATATTACGAAGCATCCAATAGTACAAGAAATGTTGTTGAATATAAATGTTCAGATGGCTATAAACTTGTAGGTGATAATTCAACGTCATGTATCTTGGATGGATATTGGTCTGAACCAAAAATATCTTGTGAACGTAAGAATTTAAAATTAAAAATTATCATTGATTGATGTAGGTGTAAATTATAAACTATGTTTCAGCTATTACTTGTGGTGCTTCGCCTAAATTTAAGAACATGGTCCGTGAAGAAGAGCAAACTGTTAAACATTCGTATAAAGTTGGAGATAAAATTTTATTTAAATGTAACGAGGGTTATGTAAAATTGGGAAACAACCCTTTCATTCGTTGTATGGCTTCAAGCAAATGGTCTCGACTTCAAGGAAAATGCTTAAGTGAGTGTCTTAATTTTTTTAAATTAATTTTAAGCAAATTTAGAATTAAGAATGAATTTTTTCAAGAGAATTGTCACAGATAAACAATATCTCAATTTTTGTTTTTTGGCGTTGGAAATTTTTATCCTAGAGCCACACAGTAAAATATCTCTCTTAAGACCTCGTCAATTAATTAATTCATAATTTTTTTATTTGTAGGAAAGTCATGTGGAAAGCCATCCATTGCAGACGATACTGAATTAGAGGGTAGATCATATTTATTTGGAGATACAGTAAAAATTACCTGTAAAAGTGGATCTGTATACGAATTAGTTTGCAACAAGAATGGTATATGGGATGGTGACAAAGATGCAAGCTGCTAAAAATTAATATGATAAATTAACAAACTTTAAATAAAAAGTCAATGCTTTTAAGAATCAAATTTTATTTAAATGACTTCCTAACTAATGTTCAGGACTATTATATTTGATTGTTATTGTATTGGGGTGAAGAATAAGATGAGTATAGTTGACAAAACGTTAAAATTTAATGACATGATTAAGACTTTACATCAAGGTCGTTCGTCGCATTAAAATTTGAGAGCTTTAAAAAATTATTGTCTATTAAAGATCTAGTCAAACAACGATCAGAAACCAGTCACTGACACCAGGATTCTGCGCAGTAAATTAATTGCAAAAATGCAGCCTTTAACTGAGGCTCAAAATTGGTCTTTAAGTGAAGTGGCTGCTGTTATTAAATGTCAGTGAAAGTTGAATATTTTACATTAAGAAACACTGGCAAAAAGAACAAAGATTGCGCAGACCTTCCAGACAAAGGGGGAAGGAATCTAAAGAAAATAAAGATAATGATCTCGTAGAATATATCTGTCAAAATCCTTTTGGAACCGCTCTAAAAGCACTAGAAGAACTATTATTCCCAGTATCTCTCACAACAGCTTAAATGTGTTTAAAACAAGCTGGCTTAAAATACTGGGTGCCGGTAAACCTACTGGACTAGCGAATTTAAAAAAAAAATAAACTAAAAAATAAATAAAATAACAAAAAAAAAATGGTGGTTGCGCATAAATCACAGAAAAATTTAAGTTTAAACTTGCAGATTTTGGCTATTCTAACGTAAGATTTTTCGATTTTCGTGTGAAGCATGTGCACGGTTGCCAAGCGTTCCAATTTATAACAAAACCCAGATTAATGATTGGCAGAATCGATTAGTTACTTTTATGACTCGAATATATATTGGAAAAATAACATCAAAAGTATAAATAAGAAATTAATAAACACTCACCTCGAATTGAAGTCAACGAAGTCCCATGTTCCATTCGTTGTCTCGTCTTTCCAGTCCTAGGTCCAAAAACCATTTTTTCGCGTTACCCGGTATATTTAACTCCGGAAATCTTCTGTTCCCGGCGACGATCTTTCATTCTGACCTCAATACTCAATGACTCATTCCGTTTCATAGCAAGCCTTCAATGCCTCCAGGTTTTTATTAAACTCAAATTTTTTTACTTGGTAACCAAAAAATTACATTATGTGTGTTATAGAATAATAATATATATGATATATACAAGGTGTTAAAGCAAAAATAGATAGAAATCCGAAAACTACGAAGGTTTTCTTAATAAAAAAATATTGCTAAAGTTAAAAATAAAAAAAAAATTTAAAAAACTACATCGCTAAAAAAATAAATATATTAAAAAATACGGTTTTTTCCAAATAAGTTCATTTGAGTTTAACAAAAATCGTAAAACCATCGCCGGCCACTATTTTTGCAGCCTTGTCCGTTCGATCTGTGCAGAATTTACACCTTCGAAAAACTAAATCCTGCAGAATCATTTTCCGCTCGTACTTTTTCCACAGAAAATAAATTCGAAAGGTGTAAAGTTCTGAAGATCCAACGTCTTTATTGTCAAAAGAAACGATCACAAATACACCACATCGTCGATGTCGATGCAACAGACAGAAAGATGTTTCTGCGCATGTGTCCCATCGGCATATACGACGTCGACAAACATGAGTTGCTTTTCGAAAAAAAAACTAATTTTAAAACCGAGTAAAATTGATGTATATACTAGCAACTCCAATATACTCCTACCCGTTACATTTTTCGGACTAATAGCGATTCGACACATTGATTTTAAAGCACTGAAAAGAGAAAGAAATAAAAAAATTAATTATTTAATTAATTTATTAATTAAAATAGAAAATAAAGAAAAATTATTTCCCTCTCTAAATGGCACACCATTGATCTATATTAAAATTTTCACTTCTATTACCCCCTTTCTAAAACGGCATGCCATTGATCTACATTAAAAATATTTGAATGTAAAAATATCCCAATTATAACTTTAAACGTACTACCAAAATTTTAAATTAATTCCTCTTCTCTCAAGAAAGATATAGGCTCTTAAAATTAAGTTGATGATAAACCTGAAGAGAGAGAAGAAACGTTGCTAACTAAATCTGGTTGAAAATCTACCTAACTATCAGTGTATCAAATGAAATAAAATTAAATTCGTAGAAAAAAATGAAATTATAAAAACATTTTGTTACAAAAAAAATATACAAGGTATCCTAAAAAAAAGAATATCAAAAATTGCTTGTGATGTGTAGATTTTCATTCTAAAGGAGAGACCTGTCTATCATATTCTCAAATGTCATACATCATTCACCTTTTCCCTTCGTCACACTAACCAGAGGCAAAGGCGTAGATAAGGGGGGTAATGGGGGTAATTACCCCCCAAGCCATAGTCAACATCAATATTTTTTAAACGTTATATTAAACAAAAATAGAAATATAAAATAAATACAATTAAACAAAGAGTTTCTCATACATTGTCATCTAAAATAATATTCCTGCAAATCGAAAATTTATATATAGTGCATAATTGTTCAATATTTAAATTTGTGTTATTGACAAGCAAAAAAGTTTTAATTAAAGTTATATGGATTCAAAAAACACATATTTTAAAAATAGTTTTGGATGGCAAATAAAAATGTACGTTTTTTAACTAGAACACCCTACATTTTATTTTTAGAATGGCTTCGGAATACTGAATATTTTAAAAAATATTACAGTGTATGTAACAATACCAATGTGTTAGTCAATAAAACACCACCAGTGCATAATTGATCGATTGCTATTTTATTATTAGAAATACGAAGAAATGTTTATTATAAAAGTTGTATGACCATATATAACAAATATACTTAAATAAACGAGGTGCTGACCAAAACTATACTTTTTTAAAGCAAAACACCCTGCAGGTAGTAATACATATTTGATTGTTTTTACATCGTCAAACAATTTTAATTGACGTAATTATTTTGCTATGTGTCAAAACGTGTGGTTACGATTTTCTCAATTTTTAAATGGAATACCCTGTATTAATTAATTGCTGGTATGACATAAAGGGTATTCCATTTAAAAAAATGAGAAAATCGTTACCCCTCATTTTGAAACACCCTATTTACAACATAGCAAATAAATTAAGTCTATTAAAGTTGTTTGACGATGTGAAAATAATTAAATATAAAAATGTATAAGTTTGTTCAGCCCCTCGTTTATGGACCACCCTGTATATTTAAGAACATTTATTAAACATAGTCATACAACTTTTATATTAATTTGTTTTTCCTATTTCCAATAATAAAACAGCACTACTGAGACATGTTGGTATCGTTGGATAAGTAAATTTATAAGGAATTTTATGCGAAAATAATATACAGTGTGTTGCATTTAACAAAATTGAGTAAATTGTTCTTAAAATTCGCCATATTTAAGATATGTTTCAAAAGACTCTGTATAAAATAAATTAGTTCTATCACCTCGGAAATGGAAAGGTCTACAAAGATCAACCAGAAGTCCCTTTTTTGTGACAAATGGCTGGAGAAATATTTAAATCTTAAATTTTATGAAATATAGGGTGTTCAAAAAGTTTTGAATAAAATTGTTTCTTTAGCCCTTCATTCTACATCAATGGGTTATGGTAATTTATCGAAATAGTGTGTTAACTAATAATAACGTTTACCTATCATATACATATTTTTAAGTTAGTCTTTTCTGTAAGGGAAACTATTTAGAAAATATGTATTTATTAAAAATTCACTTTATCGCCCTATAGAATGAAAACTGGTACCTTTATAGGAAAATTATATTTAGCTTTTCTTTATAATTGATTAAGATCTACAAATCCCCAAAATTACGGTACTTTATTCTGAAACACCCTGTATAAATATATTAAAAATTAAAACTTCATTATAAAACTAACTCTTTTTTCTGGAAATACACCTATGAACTTTAGACATTGCATTGGTACCATATTCTAAGAGAACACGCTGCGCATTCACCAATAATGTCAGAAGTGAAAACAACCTAGCTACGCGCTTGACCAGATGCGTAGATAGGGAGGGGGGATCAAGGATATCAATCCCTCCCTATTAGTCTATGAAAATTATGAGTGTATTAAATAAAAGACTCTTCATCTATGTTTATTTAAATATTGTTACGTTGGGGTGTGTTTTGAATGATTAAATATTATTATTGTAATCATATGATGTTACTGAAACTTACCTAGGTATGTAGAATTTTAAAAAAATGTAAAATAACCATTACAAATTTAAATTGTCAGATAGATTAATTGTACATTATTAAAACACAATTATTTTCTTTATTAAAAAAAAATCTAAATTCAGAAGCAAAGGTATACAATGAGCGTCAGCAAAACTCGGTATTTGCCACATCGGTTTCTGCTCCAGTAATATCCCCAACACAACTACCTCTCGCTCCAGCTAGCTGTAAGAATTAAAATTAAATGAACGATCCTCTTAGATCGTTTGTGTAAAAAATTCAACAGGATCCTCTTAAGTCAGTCAGCTCTGCGCATCCTAGATCCTAGCGATGTCCGGTGTTGCCAGGTCTACTGATTTTTCAGTAGGTCTACTAATTTGGCTATTGGTCTACTGATATACTATCAATGTGATTTTTACTGAAAAAAAGTATTTTTCATTATTATACTCTTCACACAGTAGTCTGTGAAGAGTATTATAGGTTTACTTTCAAGAAACCAAATTTTTTAATATACATACTAAAAGAAATTTTGTATCAAAATCCATCTCATCAAATTTTAAGTCAAAAATCAAAAATGATAAAATTTTCAGGAAAAATTAATCTCTATAAGGCCTATCAATTTAAAAAAAAAATGATTAAAAATTAAGGGTTAATGGGGCTTAAAATTAAAAAAAAAAATTAAATATAAAACTTGAAATTTTCAGGAAAAATCAAGCTCTGCAATATGAGGTCTATTAATTTAAAAAAAAAATCTGATTAAAAATAGGGGATTAAGGGGGGTTAAAATTTAAAAAAAAATCATAAATCAAAACAGAAAACTATTTCAACTTAAAATGTTTAGGAAAAAGTCAAGCTCTCAATGGGACGAAGCCTATTGATTAAAAAAAAATCGGATTAAAATGGAGGGGTTCAGAAGAGTTAAAACTTAAAAAAAATCATATAACAAAAACTGAAAACAATATCAACTTGAAATGTTTAGGAAAAATCAAGCTCTGCAATGGGACGGAGCCTATCGATTTAAAAAAAAAATCTGATTAAAATGGAGGGGTTCAGGGGAGTTAAAACTTTAAAAAATCATATAACAAAAACTGAAAACAATATCAACTTGAAATTTTCATAAAAAATCAAATTTTACGATGGGACGAAGCTAATTGATTTTTAAAAAAAATGATCAAAAATAGAGGGGTTGAAGGGGGTTAAAATTAAAAAAAAAATAAAAATTGTTGTGGTTTTTTGGCTGCTTTTTTACTGTACAATCACTGCAGCCCTCTTTAAAGCCTTGTTCAGAGTAAAAGCGGCAAGCATGTACTAAAAAAAATGATAATGAGTTGACTGAATCTGACTCCGATTAGAATATATTATTTTTTAGTGTTTAAAATAAGTGTTGTTTCAATTATTTTATTTTTTAATATGTAATATTTATTTATATTTCCTAATAAACTATTTTTTGAATCGTACTTATTGGGGTTTGATTTTCTATTGTTATGATTTGGTTGTCATTTTTATAACGAGTCAAAACAGTGTAAATTACGTATAATTAAGGTTTACACTAATCGGAAAAAAACACAGTAACGTTAAAAACATTTTTGCCCCTTTAATTCTACTGAATTTTTGACTGACAGTATACTGAAAAAAAAAATATTATGTGACCTGGCAACATTGGCGATTCCGCGATTCAGTTGCCATCAGTTGTTCCTATTTATTTATTTCCAACTGTAAGTTTTGGGATAAATTTAAATTATAACAAGAAGAAACACTCAAATGTGTAAAAATATCAATAAAATGTTATTCTGCACTTGTGTAATACCATGATTCAACAGTGACAACTTTTAGGAAAGATAAATTTAAACAGGTATGATTACAAATTGAGAAATATCTTTGGACCAACAACAACAACAACAGGTTAGTGAGTTACTAGAAGTATGATATCAACATGCTACATAAAATTATCAAAGTATTTTTAAAGAAAACTATAAAAGTTAATTAACAAAACAAAAAACGTTGACATTTCAAATTAAGATCCAAGTGAATTAAAATTATTGTGATTAATATCCATGAAATAAATTAAAAATAATAAATGTCGTTATAAAATTTGTTTTCAATCACCGTGATTAGAATAATTGTTCAATAAATAACTAGTATTATGGAATTTTTAAGTGAATGCATTCATTTATGTTTTAGGCCTTGTAAAATTCAAAAGATGTATATTGTACCTTTTTTCAAAGATTATCCAGCGATGTGAAGTTCTCATCCAATTTCTAGAAGTTCTCTGAAGAAATATCAACACAAATCTCTTCAATTTTTCGTCGATATGTCAAAAAAACTAGCTTCAGCAGGTAATGTAGGAACTCTTCTTTATCGACTTGCTGTGACACTTATCTAATGTTTACCGGGCAACGCACTTTTGACAACTGACTGATTTTTTCTCGGAAATTGCTTTTATTGAAGTTGAATGTCAAAGCCTACTACGATGCGATTTTCAATAAATTTTCTGTCAAAAACCATATACGAGGATGATTCGATAATTTAATAAATGTTTTTGAACTTTTCTTTTTGCGCATTTTTTGTAATTAAAAACCTTCTTATTCACTATTATAACTATTTATATAACTTTTTTTCTTAACCTATAACCTTTTATAGGCAAAAATTGATAAAATATTTCACAAAATTATTGACTTTCATTTTACTTTATTTTATCATTTTTGTATTGAAATTAGGGCATTTTGGATTTTGAAACTCAAGAAAACTTTTCCACTGATCCAAATTAACGTTATGCATGCATTAATTTCAATTTATAAATTATATAATCAATTTTTTTTTAAATCAGAGGTAGAGTCTGCACTGACACTTTATTTCACCCCTAGCTATAAGGGTTGGACTTCTCAAGGTGTGAATTGTATCAGTATTTTATCAGAAGGCCCCATTCTAAAGATTCCTAGTGAAATTCCTATCAAAAGAACATTTTTAAATATATTAAATCATATGTAAAGTCAAATTCGACATGTATGGGCAATTACTATATGTGAGTTTTTATTGAAATTAGGGTATTTTAGATTTTGAAACACTAAAAAATTCTTCCACTGACCCCAATTGACAATATGCATGCATTAATTCCAATTTATAAATTATATAATCAATTTTTTTTTAAATCATAGGTAGAGTCTGCACTGACACTTTGTTTCACCCCTAGCTATAAGGGTTGGACTTCTCAAGGTGTGAATTGTATCAGTGTTTTATCAGAAGGCCCCATTCTAAAGATTCCCAGTGAAATGCCTATCAAAAGAACGTTTTTAATTATATTAAATCGTATGTAAAGTCAAATTTGATATGTAGGTATGGACAATTACTATCTGTATGTGAGTTTATATTGAAATTAGGGTATTTTAGATTTTGAAACTCTAGAAAACTCTTCCACTGACCTCAATTAACGTTATGCATGCATTAATTTCAATTTATAAATTATATAATCAATTTTTTTTTAAATCAGAGGTAGAGTCTGCACTGACACTTTGTTTCACCCCTAGCTATAAGGGTTGGACTTCCCAAGGTGTGAGTATTATCAATGTTTAATCACAAGGCCCCATTCTAAGGATTCCCTGTGAAATTCCTATCAAAAGAACATTTTTAATTATATTAAATCATATGTAAAGTCAAATTTGACATATAGATAATTCCTATTTGTGAGTAGGTATTATCGATTCAAATTATATTCAAATTTAATCTGATTTAAGGTTTTTTTTAATTTAGTGTGCACTGTTGGACCATTTACCAAGTTTTTATTTGCATAAACAAAAATTTTTAATAAAACAAACTATTTTATATTAAAACAACGTTACGAGGGGTTTTCAATAGTTACTCTCTTTCATTAATATTGTACATCCTGTACTTTGTAAATTACATTAAAAAAAAAATTGTAAAGGATGTTATCCGTTACAGTATATATGTTACAATAAATGCTGGAAATCAGTAAATGTAACCAATCCCTAGGGAGAGCAATATATTTAATCTGAACACATTTTTACTAGTATTAGCATTGACTGAGCTGTTCTAGTAAAAGCTTTAGTAAAACCAGAACGTTTTATGTTTAATAGCTATTTATATTATGTAACGAGTGAATATTTGCGGGACGAGCAGAGCGAGGTCCCACAACATGAACGCTATATTGTTATAACGATGGTATCCTGTTAAATTTCAATTTTTTATACCATATAAGTACGGGTATATCAAAAAATTGGAATTAGGGCAGAGTTGCACTTATTTTTAAAAATATATCCTGACAGTTTTGTACCAAAAGGAGGAATAACTTGTTGTTGAACATAAAATTGATACTGGTGATGCAATCAGCTCGAAGATTACCAAAGGCTAAGTATTGTTTGGGAAATGGAGGAAGACAGTACCTTCTACCAGCCCATGCTTGATGATTTGAACATAAAACCGGAAGTAAGTCACAGAAATGCTGATTCCAAATGTTGTAGACATGTTAATATAAGAAAATATCAGTCGATTTGGAATGCCCTTGGAGATCCATAGTGACCAAGGCGAAATATTGAAAGCTAGCTTCTCTGAGGAATATTTGACATACCAGGCATGAAGAAAACCAGAACTGCCCACCTCCATACACCCTTTATTTTTATTTAAAACTGAAATTTTATTATTTTACTTTCAATTCTGTACTTACTGTATGTGGCCTTTTTCCTCTGGTAGCAGCAGTGATCGTCTAATTAATTAATTATCACGTTGTGATAACGTTAGTTAAAAATGTCAAGTTTGGTGCAAATTGGTAAATAAAACTATAACAAAATTTATATTTGAACAGTGTTAATTCACCAGTTGGATAGCTAACTATTAAATTTCACCATCCAGGTTTGTGTGTATAAATAATCCAAAACGATACATTTAAATGGCCCAAATTAATTTATGACAGATTTTTATATAATGTAAAATTTTCCAAAAATCGAATTATTAGAGATAAAAGAAAAAAATATTAACTGAAGTTATTTATATTACATAAACATATTATTAAATATTGTAATTTATTCATTAAGAAGTCCTGAAAAATATAAAAATTAGTAAAATATCTATTAAATCATATTTATTTACCTTCGTTCCCTTAATGGTAAAGTATTGCGATGCGGTGATGACATTTTGAATATGGTACCAGTGTCGCCTAAATGTGTATTATACCCCGGTAGGAATTTGTTGCCAGGTGCCTTTAAATCAAGATAAATAGGTATAAGTCAACAATTAAAACAAATATTAACTATTTAAGTTAATCTTAGATCAAAGAAACAAAGAGATGGAACATATTAAGCTACTGCATACTCAGATAAATGGTATATAGATATGTAACTGTCTAGAATTGTTTGAAGCCTGGTACCAGGGGCCTTTAAATCAACAAAATAGCTATAAGTCAACAATTACAACAAATATTAACTATTTAAGTTAATCTTAGATCAAAGAAACAAAGAGATGGAACATATTAAGCTACTGCATACTCAGATAAAATAAATATAGATATGTAACGGTCTAGAATTGTTTGAAGTCTGGTACCAGGTGCCTTTAAATCAACAAAATAGCTATAAGTCAACAATTACAACAAATATTAACTATTTAAGTTAATCTTAGATCAAAGAAACAAAGAGATGAAACATATTAAGCTACTGCATACTCAGATAAATGGAATATAGATATGTAACGGTCTAGAATTATTTGAAGCCTGGTACCAGATGCCTTTAAATCAAGATAAATAGGTATAAGTCAATAATTAAAACAAATATTAACTATTTAAGTTAATCTTAGATCAAAGAAACAAAGAGATGGAACATATTAAGCTACTGCATACTCAGATAAAAGAAATATAGATATGTAACTGTCTAGAATTGTTTGAAGCCTGGTACCAGGGGCCTTTAAATCAACAAAATAGCTATAAGTCAACAATTACAACAAATATTAACTATTTAAGTTAATCTTAGATCAAAGAAACAAAGAGATGGAACATATTAAGCTACTGCATACTCAGATAAAAGAAATATAGATATGTAACTGTCTAGAATTGTTTGAAGCCTGGTACCAGGGGCCTTTAAATCAACAAAATAGCTATAAATCAACAATTACAACAAATATTAACTATTTAAGTTAATCTTAGATCAAAGAAACAAAGAGATGGAACATATTAAGCTACTGCATACTCAGATAAAAGAAATATAGATATGTAACGGTCTAGAATTGTTTGAAGTCTGGTACCAGGTGCCTTTAAATCAACAAAATAGCTATAAGTCAACAATTACAACAAATATTAACTATTTAAGTTAATCTTAGATCAAAGAAACAAAGAGATGAAACATATTAAGCTACTGCATACTCAGATAAATGGAATATAGATATGTAACGGTCTAGAATTATTTGAAGCCTGGTACCAGATGCCTTTAAATCAAGATAAATAGGTATAAGTCAATAATTAAAACAAATATTAACTATTTAAGTTAATCTTAGATCAAAGAAACAAAGAGATGGAACATATTAAACTACTGCATACTCAGATAAAAGAAATATAGATATGTAACTGTCTAGAATTGTTTGAAGCCTGGTACCATGTGCCTTTAAATCAAGATAAACAGGTATAAGTCAACAATTAAATCAAATATTACCTATTTAAGTTAATCTTAGATCAAAGAAACAAAGAGATGGAACATATTAAGCTACTCCATACTCAGATAAAAGAAATATAGATATGTAATGGTCTAGAATTGTTTGAAGCCTGGTACCAGGTGCCTTTAAATCAAGATAAACAGGTATAAGTCAACAATTAAAACAAATATTAACTATTTAAGTTAATCTTAGATCAAAGAAACAAAGAGATGGAACATATTAAGCTACTGCATACTCAGATAAAAGAAATATAGATATGTAACGATCTAGAATTGTTTGAAGCCTGGTACCAGGTGCCTTTAAATCAAGTTAAATAGGTATAAGTTAACAATTAAAACAAATATTAACTATTTTAAATAGCAGCTTCAAAATTTAGCCACAACTGTCAACAAGCACTTGGAAATTATCAGTTTTTTGTACATTTTGGGCTTTTTGTTAAAGAGAGATTAGAAGATGGTAAATATTTAGTGAAGTCTCCAAGAATGGTAACTCAGGTGGGCATGATGGTTACTGTAAGATATTATAAGATAAAACGGAGATTTTTATGGAATTCTATGGCAAAACAAATAAGAGGATGAGAAAATGTTCCTAAAAACTTACTGTCAAAATATAAATATAGAAATTATCATAAATGTGCAAAAAAATTAAAATAGTATTGCTGTAAATACCCAAATAATTGCATTTTTCTTACCTCTTCAATAACATTATGGTACGTGTTTGCATCCTCTGCATCAACAACAAGTTCAGGGACTTCAAAACAAGGAATATTACAATAATTCATCAAAATTTCTTTCTTATCAGCATACCTAAAAGAAATTAATTCCATACAGTGTAAATTTGGTAAAAAAGAAATAAACAAAAATGTGCATACTTGTGTCTTAAACTAGCCCAATCTTCTTCCATCTTGTGATCCCAATCTTTAAGGTGAGTGTCTTGGGCATCATATTTATTAAAATCAATTCGTTCGATATCTTCAATGACTATTTCTACGTCTCCTGCATCAGTCCAATCATAAACCAATAATTCAGAATGCTTACTGAAACAGCATTAAAATCCAGAGATAACAGAAGATGTAGCTATTCATTGATAAAACAATATTTGTGACACAAACATCAATACAGTTCAGTTGTAGAGCAGGAGTGAAGAGACATGTGGTGAGAGGTATGGGAAGGGATAAACTGAAGAATTTTATCAATGAATATATATGTAAACAGTTGTTTGTTCATATTTTAAAGACAAAAGGAAATCAAAAAAGAAATGGCAACAAACTGGAGTTTTCTTTTATAAATCAGCTTTTAAAAATGCAATTCAGTGATAAAAACGAGAATTATTCATAGTATTAAACAAGAGATAATTGGAACTAGAGGAGCTAGTTGAAGAAGTTAGTCTTCAGGCAACCACTATCAAGCCAGAGGATGATAAAGACGAAATCGCACTTAAAAGAATGAGAAAGAGTCAAAAGAAAGCCAATGATAGTTTTAAAGGATCAGGGTCTTACAGAATGGGAATTTTATTGTAAAGAAAAGAAAAAACAATTTATTATCAGCAGTAATCACATATTGAGATGATTATAATTTCAAGAAAATTAGTTTATAAAATATACAATTTGTTAAAGATAACAATATGAATAGAACCCATATTAAAATAAGCATATTTAGAATGTTTAACAGAACTTAAACTCACCTAAGTTCTTTCAAATAATTCTGTTTATAATGTTTTTCCATGACACTGAGATATTGGGGTGTCAAAGCTTTGGAATCTTGTTCATAACTGATTCCTCTTTTTTTAATATTCTCCAATACTTTAGGTACTGGGATATCCAAATATATAATCAAGTGTGGCCTTAATAATTCACCAATGGTGTTGTCTCGGAATTCGTAATACTTCTTTATTCCTATAAGTTCAAACAAAATTGATTAACAAGGAAAAATGGAAATGAAGTAAAAGAAGAATTTTTCAAAAATTATTTGGGGCATTTCTTAAGAAATGGAGGTAACGTTTCAAATATAAAATAGGGTAACTTTTGATTGGGGTATTTATTTGCAAAAATTGAGGTAATTTTTAAAAGAAAAATGGTGTAAATATTCCAAAAAAATTGGGGTAATTAGAAAAGGACAATTAAAAGATGAGAAAAATTGAAAAAAAATGGGTAATTATTCCAAAAATAAAAAAAATGAGTAATTTAAAAAATAGATTTTTCTGTATCAAAACAAGGCATTTCTAAAAAATATAAAATATGTCTCACTAAGTTGAAACCATATAGAAAACTTTTTTACTTTCCTATCTGTATACAACTATAAGGAAAGTATAGCAATCATGATTTTTTCGACTTCGTTTTCGATGGATTTTTACTTTTTAAGGTCCCCTGAATCCGTTTTGACTATTTTCGCGATGATGTCTCTCTGTGTGTGTGTGTGTGTGTGTGTCTGTATCCACCATAACTCATGAACCGATACAAAGAAAAACGCCAAATTTTAAACTTAAGCTTTATTCCAGCGTCCAATGAAGTAATTAGATTTTAAGCAGAGTCGGAACATCTGGGGGGGTACTTTATAGGTGGTCATTTTTATATTTTATGGAATATATCTGTTATTTACATTTGGGAAAGAAAATTCTTCAAATAAAAGTTACTTCTTATATTATTATCTATAATTTTTGTTCTATACAAAATTTCTCTAAAATGGACCGTATTCGAGATATTTGAGAAAATGTGTAAATTTCGAATTTTGAAGAAAACTTAAAAACGGATAAAGAAACAAACATTAAATTTTAAACTTAGGTTTTATTTCGGCCTGACGTGAAGTGATTAGATTTTGGACAAAGTCGGAACATCTGGGGGGTACTTTATGGGAGGCCGTTTTCATATTTTATGGAATATATCTGTTATTTATATTTGGAGAAGAAAATTGTTTAAATAGAAGTTACTTCTAATATTATTATCTATAATTTTTGTTTTATACAAAATTTTCTTAAAATGGTCCGTATTCGAGAAATTTGACAAAATGTAAGAAAAATAATTTTTTATAAAAATTGTTCAAATAAAAGTTGTTTGTAATATAATTTTCTATAATTTTTATTCTATACATAATTTCTCTAAAATGGACCGTATTCGAGATATTTGAGAAAATGTGTAAATTTCGAATTTTGAAGAAAACTCAAAAACGGATAAAGAAAAAAACATTAAATTTTAAACTTAAGTTTTATTTTAGCCTAACGTGAAATGATTAGATTTTGGACAAAGTCGAAATATCTGGGGGGGTACTTTATGGGAGGCCGTTTTTATATTTTATGAAATATATCTGTTATTTATGTTTGGAGAAGAAAGTTGTTTAAATAAAAGTTACTTCTAATATTATTATCTATAATTTTTGTTTTATACAAAATTTTCTTAAAATGGTCCGTATTCGAGAAATTTGACAAAATGTAAAAAAAAATAATTTTTTTATAAAAATTGTTCAAATAAAAGTTGTTTATAATATAATTTTCTATAATTTTTATTCTATACATAATTTCTCTAAAATGGACCGTATTCGAGAAATTTGAGAAAATGTGCAAAATTCTGATTTTTATGAAAATTGTTGAACTAAAAGTTGTTTGCGATATTGATCTCTATAATTTTTGTTTATATTTATATAGATATATTAGAAAATATGAAAATGATCAGTAACTATTACAAAAGCATCTTGTTTTTAAACATTTCTAACAAGACTATGCATGTTTTCACAGTGCGCCAACTATTACCTTCAATTTACAAGTTAAAATAATTTAAACACTCCAATATTAGTTATTAGCATGAATTTTTAACAATACTTACCAAGTTTGCTTATGAAACCTTGACTAAACATAGCTTCAGCAAATACAAAATCAGAATACACACATCTGTCTAGAATCACTCCTTGTCCAGTACTTAGAACATGAGCTAATGCATCAATGTATTGTGACAACCTTTAACAAATAAAAAGTACCATCAGGTCTTGATATTGTCTTCTAGTTTCAAGAGATGGAACCTTTAAATGATATTCCAGTTTGGTGCAATCTTACTCAACTGTGTAAGATGCAAGCCATACCAGTTTTATCAAAAATAACTACATACAGCATAGAAAGTGTTTCCTTAATCAAAAAGATTCTAATTTTGAGGATAATGTAATACTTATATAAAGATTTCTTCTACAGATTTAACTATGGCATATTATTAAATATAACAACCTAAAGTAAGCAAAACTTAGCTACCCCTACAGCAACTTCTTTCATTTTCTAGCTATTCAGTAAATGTTTAACTAACTTACTTCACAACATATTGTTGCAGTTGAAATCTAAGAGTATGTCTATGTTTAGGGTTTCTTAAGAAATCCATAACATCCCAACTTATACAACTCTCTGGCAATTCAGAATCTAGTTTGCGCTGATCAAAACCATAATTATTGATATACATCATATCTAAATTTGCTTCTGGCAAATAAAGCATGTCCAACTCGCTGGCTAATTGCTTTGCACACTTTGATTTTCCAGCAGCTAATGGACCTTCGACAACAATGATCTAAAATAAATAAAAACCTTGTTTATGACCAATTAATCTAGTAATAAACATCTGAAGTATGCAGTTATAATAATACCTACAAAGATTATTTAGTTGAAGAGCCTGAAGTTTAGTAGTCCAATTCTAAACCATGTGAGAAAGGAAAAGGGAAATAATATGCTTTTGGCTTAGATTTAATTAGGACTGTGGGCCTACCTCGACCTTTTCAGATCTATTGTGGATATATATGCTTTTGGGTTAGTTGTTCATTGAAGTTATTTGAATTAAGACAATGTTGTACTGCAAAAAAGATTACCTAATGTTATAGACTTACTTTTGAATTTTCGTCCAGTCTAGATGTAGTTTTATCAAAGAAATAATTAAATAAATTGTAACCCTTCTCATTGTAAGGCCAGGGAGATGGTTTTGAGACGTCCTCTTGAGACATTCTTGTGGTTTTGCTTGTAATTGTTCTAATGAAAGTTACATTTTTTTGATTGAAGTTATTATTTAAAGCTTGATTCTGGATTATTCGTTTCAACCCTAATCTTACAAATGTAGACATATTTAAAATGGACCTTTTACTTTTTAGATGAATTATATTTTTACAATTTTTACATAACAAGAATACATTTGGCAACGAGTGTCAAATTGTCAGGTGTCAGGAAGTCAAGTGTCAAATACATGTTAATTCTTCTAATTCTTCATCTTCTTAAACTTTTGGCCTTCACTTATATAGTGTCTGTAAATAATGGAGTGCTGACATCAGCATTGGGATTCTAATCTTTTAATTCGGCACGTGTTGAGACGACTATCTTCGTTTCACAGAATGCGATTAGTATGTAATGTCTCTATTCAATTCGTTACGTGTTGAATACGCACATAAGAATCACTAACAATAATTTGGACCCTTGTGTATTCTCCATTTAGCTCGCTAAAGGTACCATTTGGTAAGAAGCGATACGAGACTGAGACAAAAGCTCAGCTAAGGACAAAAGTAAGACGGCAAATATTGCCATACTAAATCTAATGTCGTCGGTCGCTTCTACCGAAATGCGTTTCATATAATTACAAGTGTTCAGACGTACTTTATTATGCCAAAGATAATTTTTAGTCCAACAATAATATAATTTATAATTGAAATCGAAATTACCCTGCCAAATTGTGCGAGGTTCTGCAACAACGTCACATCAACCTGTCACTCTGTGACATAACGTCATTAACATGTGTTCTTGACATCTGTGATCAATATCAAATACCTAACCTTAATATTTTATGTGTCGAGTTTTTTTATTCTAGATTTTAATGTAAATTATGAAAATGTCTACAAATAGTTTATTAAATAAGTGTAAAGTTGCAGTTTGTCAATTTACAGCTACAAATAATAAATCGAGTAATTTTGCTATTGTCAAACGCCTAATCGAGAATGCCAAACAGGAAAATGCACAAATTGCATTTTTACCTGAAGCATGTGATTATATTGCATCTACGAAAAGTGAAATTTATCAATTAGCTGAAAATATTGATGGTCCATTAGTAACTGAATACAGGAATGTTGCCAAATGTAATCAAATATGGTTATCAGTGGGAGGATTCCATGAAAGGTGTAGCGAAAATACAGTATTCAATAGCCATCTGTTAATTGACGATTTAGGTAACATAAGATCTATTTATAGAAAAATTCATTTGTTTGATGTAGAAATTCCAGAAAAGAAAATAAGTTTAAAAGAATCAGAGATTTGTAAAGGTGGTTTTGAAATTATTCCACCAACAAAAACACCTGCAGGATTATTAGGACTAGCAATTTGTTATGATTTAAGATTTCCAGAATTAAGCTTGATCCAGACTAAAATGGGTGCTAATATATTGTCATTTCCTTCAGCTTTTACAGCTGTGACCGGGGCAGCTCATTGGGAAATCCTTTTGAGAGCTAGGGCTATTGAAAATCAATGTTATGTAATTGCTGCTGCTCAGTATGGAGAGCACAATTCAAAAAGATCTTCTTATGGACATTCACTAATTATTGATCCATGGGGTATAGTTAAGGCTGAATGTCCAAAATATAATACTGATATTCCAAATAATGAAAGTATAGCTTTTGCAGAAATTGATCTTGATTATTTAGATAAAATTAAAAGTGAGATGCCTGTACAACAACACCGTAGAAATGATATTTATAATTTAAGTATATTAACATCTAGTACTGAAGTAAATATGGATTATAATTTTGCTGACAAAATTATTCCTAGTTCTACAGTGTTTTTCCAATCTAAATATTGTTTTGCATTTACTAATATTAGATGTGTGGTACCAGGTCATGTTCTTGTAGCAACAAAACGATGTACACCTAGATTGTTAGATTTAAGCCAAGAGGAAATTGCAGACTTATTTCAAACTGTGATTAGAATTCAGAAAACAATGGAGAAAGAGCATAATGCCGGTTCATCAACAATATGTGTACAAGATGGACAATTAGCTGGACAAACAGTTCCTCATGTTCACGTGCATATTTTACCTAGAAAAGAGAATGATTTTCAACGAAATGATGATATTTATTTAGAATTAGCAAAACATGATAGTGACAATAATATACAACCATTAAGAGCGCTTCAGGAAATGACTGATGAAGCTTCTAAATTGAAATCGTATTTTAATATTTAAACTTTTGTTGAAATTAAATAGATATACAGCAAAGTTCTTTTTTTTTTGTTACCCTGATAAAAAAATTCATAAGTCATCCTTGAACTAAAATCGAAGTTCGGTTACAATGTCTCTAAAGTTCCAGGTGGTTCTGGTGTTACACTGGAATTTAGAGATGGATATAAGCAAATCTGTAACTGTTAAGTACATTTACGGATTTTTTACTACCATCTTTTAATTCACCTGATATAACCGACTCGGCTGAGTTTAATTTATAAATACGGACCTGTCGAATTGAAATGCTAGAAGAGAGAAGAAATAATGTCAGTATTACTTTTAAATAAGAGGCCATTTCGTCAATTATGGAATTAGGCATTCCAAACTGAATGGCTACCAGTGGGTTTTGACGGGGTATGATATGGCAAAATTATGGCAACCCTGTAGGCCTGGTGATTTGACAAGATCAATGAAATAGATAGTTACATAGATTGATCATCCATATTTTTCAAAATAAACATAAGCTTATGCATTAAAGTAAAAATATAAGCAATTATTTTTTTTTAATTACCTAAAGGCAAAAAATTGGTTTTAAAACACATTTTTGCTAAACCGATTCAAATTAATAAATATTTACCAGACAATATGGCCGCTCGTAAACGACCAGCTTTGAGCAATCTATATAACTATATATGTATCATTGACCCTGTTAATGACAACATGACAACAGGGTTGCCATATCTAAACTGTCATTACCCACTGGTAGCCATTTGGACAGGTCGTTGGAATGCCTAATAGAGTCGGAAGAAGAAAATTCATCTGTCATGTGTCACTAGTGGCGGTGTCAAAAGTTTCTGTTGATGGTTGCATTTATAATAAAATAATTTAGTAAAATGTGTACTATAAATAATGTAAAGGGAGATATAGAAATTCAAAGATTGCCGGTAAATGCTGAAGAATATTTAATCAATGACTGGACAATAAAATATACAAAATCACACATTCTTCATTCGATATGTACTACTAATGAAATATGTACATCTCATCCTGAACAACGATGTCTTTTGTGCGTGTAAGTACCTAATTATTTAGGTTTTATATGTTTCCTATCTTAATACTTTAGAAATAGAACAAGAAATAATGTAATAACAGAAAATTACAATATAAATATGCGAAAAATCAAAATATGACCAAATTATATCTGTACATTTATAAATAAAATAAAATACAACATTTTGACAAAAATATTACCTATATGTAGGCCTTTTAGGCAGATACATGTTAATTGAAGTGTGTCTTATATCTGATATAAAAGATTTTAATGTAATGTTCCTAATAGACCTGCTTTTAACTGTCATTAATAATTTTTACCATACCAAAATTTGTTTAAGATTTGGGATAATTTTTTTTAATTTCAATTTTATTTCTCTTGTTTTTCATTGTATTTTAATCACTGTTATAATAAAAATGTTAATATTTATTTTGGAATTTTGTTGTTTTATAAATATTGGGTGTAAGATGACTGTATTGTACTTAAAGTTGGGAATGGGTTTTTTATTTTAAGTTAGATGAACCCAGGACAATTTAGGGTTGTTTTAATTATTCAAGCAATACTTATACAACTTAATACATAGTTAAGTAGCTCACCTTAATAATAATATTGATAAGGGTTTGTTTTTTCAGATATTTAAATGAACTTGAATTGCCCCACTTACCAGAAATGGTTTTTGCTAACAATACTTTAACTCTAAATCATAAATCTGGTCTTTCAGTCGACTTCAATGCACTAGATGCTTTGAGAAAAGTCAGTAATGGAAAACAGACAATTAAAGTAGCTCATTCAGATACATGGAAAGATTCAAGGTAAGTTTTTAAAATAATTTTATTACCACAGGTCAAATATTTTTGCTATTTCAAGAATGAACAATTATGCTTCTAATAATTATCCTTTCTGAATTCTAAAGAAATATTTGGAGGATTTAAGTCATACATCTATTGTGTCAAAAGCATGTGATTCTTTTTTTTTTGCATTTTTTTTTATAATAGTTGAAGACATTCTTTATTTTTGACCATATGGCCACTAATTTTTAAGTTGCATTTGTAAAATTAATTGGCTGTTGTGGAGGTAGATCTATGATGGGATGATTGAGGATCTATAGCTGTGGAAGGTATAGGAGATCCTCGAGAAGAACTTGGATTCCAGCAAGGTGTAGGAGCTATTCTACTTCAGACTTTTTTTATCTTTATCTTCATTAGGAGGATTTTGGTATAGGGAATGCCATTTGTAATTGATAACCATACTTTATACAATTCAGATGCTGTTGTAGCATCTTTCAAATCATAACCTCTTCTTTCTGTTAGTTTAAACTGCTCCTCCAGTTTATTAACATCAAGTTTAGTAGATAAATACAAAATAACTTAATTACTACTTACCCTCAACTCATACAACAGTGATGGCCATAAGTAAAATATGAGATTTGACTTTTTTATTTTTTAAATTTTATAAATAAAACTACCTAATTCAATATAAATAAAACACAAATTAAAAAACTGTATTTATTTATTGTGTCCTGTTGCTCACATACAATTACATAACTCTTAAAATACATTTTAAATTGGTTAAGTATATCCCGAAATGTAAATTTGTTTCTTTTTTGAACAGCTACTTTTCATTATAAGCCTTGTTAAAGCTTCAAGAGGAAAAGTCAGGTGTAACTGCAAATAAATAATGTTTATATAATTTCAAGAAAAACGTCCAATAACTCATAAAAATACAAAATTATGGTTGATACCCACATAATGACAGATTACTAAGGAGACAAAACTGAGCAAAAAATCTGATGTGTCCAACACATGACTTTTCTATCTAGTTATTATAGGCTTTTTCCAGTTATTTTGTACAACCTATTGCAGCACCTCTATAAATGTTTAGAGGATAAACTAAAGCTATACATTTTCCACATACATCTACCTCAAAACATTTTTCATCGAAAACGAAAATACTGAAAAATTTAAATTTAGCACTTTTCCTACAATTTTTCCATTACGGTCCATTTTAGAAAAATCATGTATAAACAAAAATTATAGAGATCGATATCGCAAACAACTTTTAGTTCAACAATTTTCATAAAAATCAGAATTTTGCACATTTTGTCAAATTTATCGAATACGGACCATTTCAGGAAATTTTGACATGAAGCAAAAATTATAGATAATAATATTAGAAGTAACTTTTACTTGAACAATTTTCTTCTCTAAAAATAAATAACAGATATTTCCATAAAATATAAAAATGACCACCTATAAAGTACCCCCCCAGATGTTCCGATTCTGTCCAAAATCTAATCAGTTCACGTCAGGCCGAAAGTAAACTTAAGTTTAAAATTTAATGTTTTTTTCTTTATCCGTTTTTGAGTTTTCTTCAAATTTCGAAATTTACATATTTTCTCAAATATCTCGAATACGGTACATTTTAGAGAAATTATGTATATGATAAAAATTTTAGAGAATTATATTACAAACAACTTTTATTTGAACAATTTTTATAAAAAAAATATTTTTTTTACATTTTGTCAAATTTCTCGAATACGGACCATTTTAGGAAAATTTTGTATAGAATAAAAATTATAGATAATAATATAAGAAGTAACTTTTATTTGAAGAAATTTCTTCCCCAAACGTAAATAACATATATTCCATAAAATATAAAAATGACTACCTATAAAGTACCCCCCCAGATGTTCCGACTCTGTCCAAAATCTAATCATTTCACGTCAGGCCGAAATAAAACCTAAGTTTAAAATTTAATGTTTTTTTCTTTATCCGTTTTTGAGTTTTCTTCAAATTTCGAAATTTTCATATTTTCTCAAATATCTCGAATACGGTACATTTTAGAGAAATTATGTATATGATAAAAATTATAGAGAATTATATTACAAACAACTTTTATTTGAACAATTTTTATAAAAAAAATATTTTTTTTACATTTTGTCAAATTTCTCGAATACGGACCATTTTAGGAAAATTTTGTATAGAATAAAAATTATAGATAATAATATAAGAAGTAACTTTTATTTGAAGAATTTTCTTCCCCAAACGTAAATAACAGATATATTCCATAAAATATAAAAATTACCACCTATAAAGTACCCCCCCAGATGTTCCGACTCTGCCCAAAATCTAATCATTTCACGTCAGGCCGAAATAAAACCCAAGTTTAAAATTTAATGTTTTTTTCTTTATCCATTTTTGAGTTTTCTTCAAATTTCGAAATTTACACATTTTCTCAAATATCTCGAATACGGTCCATTTTAGAGAAATTATGTATAGGATAAAAATTATAGAGAATTATATTACAAACAACTCTGGTTTGAACAATTTTTATAAAAAAATATTTTTTTACATTTTGTCAAATTTCTCGAATACGGACCATTTTAGGAAAAAATTTTATAGAATAAAAATTATAGATAATAATATAAGAAGTAACTTTTATTTGAAGAAATTTCTTCCCCAAACGTAAATAACAGATATATTCCATAAAATATAAAAATGATCACCTATAAAGTACCCCCCCCAGATGTTCCGACTCTGCCCAAAATCTAATCATTTCACGTCAGGCCGAAATAAAACCTAAGTTTAAAATTTAATGTTTTTTTCTTTATCCGTTTTTGAGTTTTCTTCAAATTTCGAAATTTACACATTTTCTCAAATATCTCGAATACGGTCCATTTTAGAGAAATTATGTATAGGATAAAAATGATAGAGAATTATATTACAAACAACTCTGGTTTGAACAATTTTTATAAAAAAATATTTTTTTACATTTTGTCAAATTTCTCGAATACGGACCATTTTAGGAAAAAATTTTATAGAATAAAAATTATAGATAATAATATAAGAAGTAACTTTTATTTGACGAAATTTCTTCCCCAAACGTAAATAACAGATATATTCTATAAAATTTAAAAATGACCACCTATAAAGTACCCCCCAGATGTTCCGACTCTGCCCAAAATCTAATCAGTTCATTGGACGCTGGAACAAAGCTTAAGTTTAAAATTTGGTGTTTTTTTGTGTATCAGTTCATGAGTTATTGTGGACACAAACACACACAGACATCATCGCGAAAATAGTCAAAACGGATTCAGGGGACCCCAAAACGTAAAAATCCGTCGAAAACTCGAGGTCGAAAAAAATCATAAATTATGAAATATTGTTTTTTAGAGCACCAGAAAATTTAGAGGAAAAAATTAAACCATTTGATTGGACATTCAGTTCAGATTATAGAGGGACTATATGCGGTTCGTCTGCAGCTAGTGAAACTGACGAAAGAATTAATATTGAAAAGTTGAAAGAGAAGGAAAAAATCTTATTTTACCAGGAACTAATGTTATACGAGGATGAGCTGCATGATAATGGAATATCATCCTGTACTATTAAAATAGTAAGTGCTGAATTTAAAAATATTTTCTTTATAGCAAATAATTTTCTTATATGGGATGGTAATTTTTCAAACACTTGCCTTTAAATTGGTAATATTGTTATTCAGCAATGTTGCCAGTGTTGTGAATTCTATATATTTCAATTTTAAACTAGTAATTACTTCCTCTGTACTTCATTTGTACTTCCTACATTTCTTCACTGAGATACCTCTCAGGTTCTTTACATCCAATATAAGGTGCTCCATAATGCAAAAACCACATGTTACTTCTATGAAGTAGAAAACTTAATATTCAGTTTGTGAGTTACTGCAGGTTGAAACTGGTGAAATATTCAGTGTGCAATGTAAGTAATATATTATACTTCAATTCTGAAAATAGTATACAGTAACAATAATCTCTACACAAACTTAAGACATATATGTTAGATATTATACTAGTCATTACTGCATATAATTTTCAAATTGAACTGGAATAAAATGAAGATAGTGTATTAAAAAAAAAAATGTAAGGGATGAACGAAAATACAATAAATTTATTAATGAACCTTTTATTTCTATTAAACACAACATAAAACATTAATCACATCATCAAGAAAGTATGACCACAGCTTAACAATACAGCTAAAACACTCTCTTGGCGGCAACGGTTTGCGTCGATTTCGTCGCGCATCGCTTAAGCTCCGCCTTCGAAGGGAAAAGACGGTTTTGGTGTTCAGAAGCGTACTTAGGTAAGGTGTTGAGTCGTGCGTATAATTTCGTTGATTGTATAATTTCGTGGAGCCTATAATTTCGTTGATTTTGTTTGAGTTAAAGGTACTGTTATTATTTTGGTGACTCTTTAGCTATGAGTAGAATGAGTGAAAAAAAAAGACATCATTCTGTTTGTGCAGTCAAAAGCTGTTTTATTAAGGGTTATACCTGCAAGAAAACATTCTTTAGTTTTCCCAAGGACCCAAACCGATAAGTACCACATTATAAGAAATTTTCATTGTTAAAAATATAATTTATACAGGGTATCCCATTAGTGCGTTATTGTTCATTATTTTGTTGTAGACACGCAAGAAAGTTTTAAATAAAAGTTATATGGATTTGAAAAATACCTACATATTTTAAAAATATCTTTGGATATACAGGGTGTCACGTTTTTGCCTGGCAAATTAAAATGTATGTTTTTTAAATGGAACACCTTGTATTTTATTTTATGATAAAATTATTAACACCCTAAATTATTGTAAAGACGAATTGATACAGAAAAATTTTATCAGGTATGTGTGTGGTTACCTTTTAATAAAAGCCTTGCGGATCCACTCCTCTGCGATACCTGTCTTAAATATAACAAAGATCACGTTGAATTAGATGATTTTTCTTTTTATTGCTTTTTAAAGGCATATGATAACGCCAATCCAGATACATTTGGAAATCTGCAACTGTCAAATGATGAATTTGTAGAACTAATATTCAATATTGAAAAGATATTTCAAAATAATTTTGAAGAATTGGCTACAAAAAATAACATTTGTACCACACTTTTAGAATTAATTAACCCAATATCCTTTAGTCATCCATGCTAACGTTTTCCAAAAGAATAACTTATTTTATTGTATGTTTAATCTCAATAACTAAAAAATATACTGACAATTAGTTTGACAGAATTGTCATTTATTTAAAATTTTAAAAATAATAGCAGTCGGTTGATCAAAATATGAACGGTGATTGGCGAATTTATTTATTTTTGCAGTGTTCTCACTACCTAGAATGGATATGAAATATATTCGTTCAATTGAAAGCAATAGCATACTTTTTCGTTTTGTAATCTGTGCATGGATATTAGCCAATCTATGCACATACTACAAAACGAAAAAGTATGTTATTGCGTTCAACTACGAATATATTTCGTATCCATTTTAGGTAGTGAGAACACTTTAACAAAATTAAATCTACAAATCACAGTTCATATTTTGGTCACCCAACTCCTATTATTTAAATTTTTTTAAATAAGTGACAATTCTGTTAAACTAATTGTCAATATATATTTTAGTTATTGATATTAAATATACATTAACATTTTTGTGTAGACTCGATAAATAATAGCATTTTTGTTTTTATTGTGTCCACATTTAAAAAAAAATAAATTTTAATCAAACTACATGATACTAATTTAATTACGAGTATTAAAACTAAAGTCCTGAAAGTTTCGGTGAAGATGAGGACAGAGCATCTGCCTTCCACGCGAAAAGCCCGGGATCGAATCTAGGCCGAGGACTAATTAATTTTTCATGTTAATTTTATTTTATAAATTAGTCAACTTCGTAAATTATTTTAAAATTAGTTATTTTGTCTAAATAACCTAAAATAATTTTTTAAATTTGTAGATTTTCGTTAGTGGGTCGTAGAAAAAATATACTGACCATTATCGAGTGGATTGTTCATATCACAATCAGACGATTGAGTACTCCGCATACGACGTCGTGCTCAAACTTCGTCTTTGTGTGATATTGCTATCATATCCACCCTTGTTGAACAAACTATAATTTATTTGTTTTCTTGGTTTAAACCAAAACTTAAGTTTTACATCAGAAATAGGAACTAAATTAATTTACTTTTCAAGTTTTCTTATAAAAATCGATATTACTTTTTCCAAGTACAAATTTAGTACCTACCTAAAATAAGTACTAATTATGTAATATCGTGTAATATTGTAATTCAAATTTCACATTACTATAAAGTTTCAAAATTCCCTACTTCGGTATGGTCAGATAAAAATTGAATATATTATATTAATAAAAACTGTCAAAGTATTACTTCTACAAATCTGTATTTCAATTAATAAGAATACATCTAAATATAACCAATATTGTTAAAATAAAAGCACAAATTCTTTATAATTCCAAAATACCATAGAGTTCCCAGACCTCAGTCGAAGCATTCGTTTATCTAGATATAAACCCTTTGCGCGAAGAGTAACACTTGCCAGAGACACGGGGTACCACTTGATTTGCATCCACGAGCGTGACACAATTCTTTAACAATTGAAGCCCTTGGTGTAAAAAGGATCCAAACCACAATTTGTCGTGAAGTGACTGTTTTAGCTCAAAACATTTGTTAACGAGGATTTTACTAGCCACATACAAATTATTTTACCTCTAATCCGAAAGATGTGCTATTTTTCGTAATATTTATATTTAAATAATGTTTGTAATTATATTTGACAGATTTAAAACAAATTAAAAATTTAATTTCCCAAAACTTACTTAATATGGCATGTAACCAACCTTATTACGCCAAGGTTTTCAATTTTTTCAATAATAAAAAAATTGTTTAATCCGGGCCCGACTTTTCCCTCGAATCTAACAGAGATAGCACCATTCCGTCTTGCTTGGTTCTCGACCGCCAAATCAAAGACGCCGACACGGAGTTGTGGAGCTGTATATTGTATAAGCTGTGGTATGACCACAGGTGAAGTCCAAAATCTAACCTAACCTCTCTTCTTTTTTATCTGTCATTACATGGTCTTTTACATATATGGCTGTTTAGATAGTCTTACATCACATGGCCTCTTATCACATCGTCCAGCAACGAACGACCACTTGTAGAGTCCAAAATCTAACCTAACCACTCTTCCTATTTACCTGTCATTACATGGCCTCTTACATGTATGTATGATATAGCCTTACAAAAATAATACATTCAAATTCTTTTTAGCAGGCTGTTTCGCTTCTAATGTATACATTTATTTTTTCTAGAGAGTTATGCCAAGTTCATTTTTTGTTCTTTTGCGGTTCTTCTTAAGGGTGGACAATGTAATGGTTAGAATAAATGACACAAGGGTGTTTCATGATTTTTCAACTGATTATATCCTCAGAGAGTACACGAATAAGGAGTGCGGTGTTAAAGAGTTAAAACTACCTCTTACTATGTTTGGAGATCCAAATCTGTTGTCTCCTCATATCCCGTTAAGGACCGGTATTTATGAAAAAATTGCATTGGCTGCTTCGAGCTCTTAAGATAGAAATATAAGGTTATAATTAGCGAACAAAAGGTATTTATAATAATAATTCATTATATTTTTAAATGCTCATTTTTGTGATTGGTTTATATATAAAAAATAAAACAATTTTTAAAATAATTACTGTTTTTTTTAATTTCAACCTTTTGTTCTTGTGTCAAGTGTCAATATTATCAATCAAGAATTTGTGTTGTGTGTAAATCATAAATTTATTTTAAATATTACGATAATGAAAAAGTGTTTTATTTCAAGATGTGATAATGATTCACATTTATTATTAAAAATATTTATTAGTGTTCCTAGAAATTTAGAAAGAAAATTATGATGGGTTGCAGTAAGACAACAGTTAAATTATTTTATTGTGAGGGTCATTTTGATGTTTGTTTCTACTTTTTATTAAAATGAAAATTTTTATCGCAATTTGAAAAACGTTTCAGTTTTCTTATTTTTATTACATAAAAACTTCGTATTTTCTTCAACAAGATGTCTAACTTACCTCTCTATTTTGATGTATTTATTTTATATTTACCAACTAAAAATCTTGTATGATTAAAAGTGAATGTTGGGAAAAAATAAATTATACACAACTTTTAGTTGAACAATTTTTTAAAAAATTCGAATTTTGAACTTTTTGTCAAATTTCTCGAATACGGACCATTTTAGGAAAATTATGTATATAACAAAAATTATAGAGAATAATATTGCAAATAACTTTTATTTGAAGAATTTTCTTCTCCAAATGTAAATAACAGATATATTTGATAAAATATAAAAATGACCCCCTATAAAGTACCCCCCAGATATTCCGACTATACCTTAAATTTAATCTGTTTACTGCAGGATGGATTAAAGCTTAAACTTAAAATTTTCTTCAAATTTCGAAATTTTAATATTTTCTCAAATTTCTCGAATACGGACCATTTTAGGAAAATTATGTATAGGGAAAAAATTAGAGAAAATAACGTTACAAGCAACTTTTATTTGAAGAATTTTCTTCTCCAAACGTAAATAACAGATATATCTCAAAAAGTATAAGAACGAGCTTCTATAAAGTATTACCCCAGATGTTCCGACTATGCCCAAAATTTTATCTGTTTACCGCAGGATGGATTAAAGCTTAAATTTAATGTTTTTGAGTTTTCTTAAAAATTCTAAATTAGCACTTTTTCTCAAATATCTGAAATACGGTCCATTTTAGAGAAATTCTCTATATATCGAAAATTATACAGAATGACATTACAAACAATTTTCATTTGAACAATTTTCATTTGAACAATTTTCTTGAAAAATTCGAATTTTACACTTTTTGTCAAATTTCTCAAATACGGACCATTTTAGGAAAATTTTGTATAGAAAAAACATTACAAGCAACATTTATTTGAAGAATTTTCTTCTCCAAACCTAAATAACATATTTTCCATAGACTAGAAAAAATGATTTTTTTTATTTCAAACTTATTCACCTTCAAAGAATTTAAGAGTTTTATTTGTAATTTTTTTTACTTTATTATTATCTCCACTCACCAAAAGGGTGAAATTTTCTTTTTTTTTTTTTTTGTTTTTTTTTTATTTTGAAAAATTATTGAATTATTTTTTTTGCGTATATTAGCCGTAGTGAAATTTAATTAAAAGTTTTTAATTTCGTAAATCAACAATTGTATTTATTGCGCACCCTCTACAACAAATTCGAAATTTCTCAAAGTGATTCATATTTATTTAACTAGCAAAAGAAATGAAGAAGAATTACTTTTTTTTTTTTAATTTAAAATAAATATTTTTACAAGTATAGTTAATTAAGTCCATCCATGGATACTTGAAGACCACAACAAATGGAAATAATAATTTTTCTTGAAGAGTTACTGTCTGTAGACTCAATGTATTACTTACTTTTATTTCCTTTAAAGGTGGGATATTTTCAGCTAACAATATATTCCTCTAACAGTAAACTATTAAAAAATGTACAAGTAATTTAAAAAAAAAAAAAACTTCAAGATCGTGCTGATGCCATTAAAAATTGAGTTTGTTGATTTTCTCATAGTTCCCATTATCAGATCTTGACCAAATTTAAATAGGACCACCCCTGAAGTACCCCCTCTCTAACAAAAAAAGAATCAGAGACATCGTACAGGGATATAAATAAATATACAGTGTGTCTACTTAAGTTGGAACCATATGGAAAACATTTTTATTATTGATTTTAGGAAAAAAAGTTATTCTTGATAAAAAGTCCTGCATGACCCAAAACTTAAAATACAGTCATCAGATATCAAATTTTTCAAGCCGTATACGAGGTTTGTCAAAAAATATGAATTTTGCTCTAGAGTAAAGTACGTTTATTTTTGACAAAATCGAAAATTTTCATTAAGAAAAGTTGATTAGAATTGAATATTACATTCAAATATGCAATTACACCGATCTATCTGAAAAAACAGATTTTCTTATTTTTTATGAACTCTACACTCTACTCATTGATTGTAAATATCTGAAAACGTTATAAATTACGTTAGCTACTATAAACATGATACGCTTTCCTTTTGTTGATGTTTGTGAAGAATTTCTTAATGAAAATTTTCGATTTTATAAAAAAATAAACGTACTTTACTCTTGAGCAAAATTCATATTTTTTGACAAACCTCGTATACGGCTTGAAAAATTTGATATGTGATGACTGTATTTTAGGTTTTGGGTCATGCAGGACTTTTTATCAAGAATAACTTTTTTTCCTAAAATCAATAATAAAAATGTTTTCCGTATGGTTCCAACTTAAGTAGACACACTGTATAAATAATTACATATATTACAAAATGGGATAATTTTTTATTTGTCAATAAAGGAAAATAAAATCAATACTGTACCTTTTTAAAATTTGCTTAATTAATTCTTGAATAACGGAAATTAACGTAGCGCACTCATCCTTAGAATTAAAATTCGGCCCTGCCAAAACCGATATCATGGTTTTGGTTCATACGTGAAGTAAGACTTTTTGCCATTAGATAAGGTCACTGTTAGTTTAGTTGCTTTCCTATTTATGATGTTTTGTTATTTTTAAACATTAATAAATCGACACGTAATAAAGCAAATTTCAAATTTTTTTGCAAGGTTGAATAGTGAATAAAATCCCCTTTCAATGAGCTATCACTCACCACCCCATATCTTTTCAAATTTTCGAAAGGGTTGCTCCCCTCCAGTAAGGTCTGAAATTAAGAGTAAACTATTCATACAAAAATGTACATTGTAGAAATTAAAAATCGACGTGTCTCGGCGATTTTCCTAACAAGACTCCAGTAATGACTTAGGTAAGACTTGATATTAAAATCATGACTGAATTTTAATTTTACTTATTGAAAAATTAGAAAAATATTGACTGGTAATTTTTTTTGATAGAAGTTGGTTATATAGGGAAAATAAAACAATATAATATTTCGGAAATGTTTATTTACTTATGTAGGTATCAATAAAAATATAAATTACATAAAGTATACACAATTATCATAATATTCTTAAATATATAAAATAAATAAATTTAATTAAAATTCTTAGGTGTAGATTATTTTTAATAACAATGTTTAAAACTTTGGCATAAATAACATATTCACACTCCTTATAATTTTGATATATTTTCATTGCAAATTTCTTTTTTTGGACCAACATTTTGTTAATATGCACTTTGATATATCTTTGAAACTTTGTAGATATTCATTTTATGATTTTTTGTTATATTTTAAGTTCTTTTACTTCAAATTTTTATAATTACTCAATGTTTTTATATTTTTTGCCCACCACCCTCCTCTTTTGACTCATTTTAATTTAATTTTCTTAGTATTTGGTGTTTATCTTTGTCTTACAAAATTCATTTTCACCATATTTGTGTACATATCATTTTTTTAATATTATAATCAATTTCCTTTTTAATTTTCTAGTGATAAATACGCATTCATTATTTTTATAAATTCAGAATGCAACTTTTATCTGTTTTATACAATCATGGAATTAAAATTGTTATATTTTTTGTTTACTATCCAGATAATTTCATTTTAGTCATTATAACTTTCTTAAGAAACAAGAAAAATCGAACCTTTTTCATGTCTTACAAATTTGATTTTTTTTTTTTTTAATTAATTAATTGTCTATAGATTTCTAGTTCAGTTGTGAACATTGATGTATTGTTTTTTAATATTTTTTTTAATTTATTTTTGGCCCACCTCCCTCCTCTTATGTTTATTTTTTTTCTTATACTATGCACATACTATAGCAAATGGTTGACTTTTTAACCACTTTAATTGTGATCACACATGTAACGTTTGCTAATTATCTTTATACATTTTGTAAATATATTCTAATAGAATGAAGATATATTATGCTTGGCATTCAATATCATACTCTTCACAATTTGACAGACTACCTTAATCGCCATTTTTAATCAGATTTTTTCAGAATCGATAGACTTCATCTCTCAAATCAAGCGTGATTGTTTTTTATGAAGATTTCAATTTCATATCTTGTTTCGTTTCTGAATTAGGATTTTTATCAATATTTTAACCACCTCTTATCTTTTTATTTTTTTATTTCAACCCCCTTCATTGACCCCTATTTTATTTAGATTTAAAAAAAACTGGCTTTATCCAACTGATATTATTGTTCGTTTTGAGTTACGATTTTTTAAAGTCCTTTAACCTCCCATTTTTATTCAATTTTTTTTCATATTCAGTAGATCTTATAGATCTTGACTTGTACTAAAACTTTCATGTTGTTATTGCTTTCCAATGGTTTTTTAGTACCATACTTTTTGTTTTATGTAATATAATTAACTTTATGTCTTTAATAAGATATTTTATCTTTTGTGATACTTATATTACTTTAACAAATTTTTTTTATTTTACTTTGTATATTATTTTCTGAACCTTTAATTTTAGTATCCTACTGTTGTCGAGGTTTTTTTTATTACCCCTACACCCTCTTATTATAATTTATTACATTTTTGTTATACTACCTTTTTTCCCACGTTTAATAAGGCCCAAGTCGAGTAAGTTTCCATCCTGGTATACTATGATCGAAACCTGCTAGACTTTCCATCCATCCCCCCTGCTTACTTTGCAGGTTCCTCTTTTCACGTTATCATTTTTGTAATTTTAAAATTGTTTACCATATTAATATTATTCGATGTTATATCCGATTTATTAGACTCGTTTTAAATTTCTTGGTGTTTCTAGTTGTATTTA